AACGGATAATGAGAGTTCATTGGGTTTCATACTATATACATCCACCTTGTGCTCTTGCATCAACTGCCGTAGCTTGGCCAGGCGCTCGGAGGTGTTCACGGTCTCCATCTCGATAATGAAGCGCGGGGCGGAGCTGGAAAAGGGCCTCAAACGGGGAAGGGGTAACTTGCGAGCCGATCGGAAAGCTGATATCCAAGAAAGGCGGATTGGAGGGTGCGAAAAAAGCATCTACTGGCGAGGATTTGCAAAGGACAGCTGCAAGTGTCCGGGGGAGAAGGTGGGATTCAAACGAGCCGGGGTTGCACAAAGCACGCAAGGCCCGTGATCAAAGGTAGCGAGGAAAGGTGGGGGGTGGGGAGAGAAAGGGAAGGGAAGGGAAAGATACAACGGTCGTGTGCACAAGAGCGAGCGAGAGTGGAGGATACTAGCTGTTGACTTAGTATTCTATTCGATAAGGTGAGTTGAATGGTGGTGGTGAGTACGTAAGGGAAGTCCAGTTCTCCGTAGGAGCTCCGATGGCAGATTAAAGTGGGACCCTTTGCCGGCCTTCCTTTGCCGACTGTGGAAGTGGGTAACTGTAACTGTAACTGCCACGAGAGATCGGTATCGTCATTACCGGACGGTAATTTTCTTTTTTTTTTTTCAATTTCAATCCTGATTTCTTACCTATACAAGTCGTAGTTACCCCTCAAAAGCACGAAGATGACTATGCTGACATTGTCGCAAACTCAACCATTGTAGGTTCTTGGGATTGAGGTCAAATGGGGTTAAAATTTGGTGATGAACCGCATTCTCTGACCAAGCGTTGCTGAAGCGATCATGGGCCGTTGGTTGGGAATCAAACAACGTCCTGCAGATGTTAGCCCAGCTGGTCACATGCTTCTCTCAATATCATCCCTCCCCCCGACAACAACTGGAACCTTGAGTGCCCTGATCGTCATCATCCAAAGCTAACCATTCTTCAACTAGAACCACTGATTACGGTAGCCTTCCCCCTCCATCCCACTTCTCACCGCCTGATCTTCCGGTGATAGTGTTATCAGCACGTGACACCCCTTAAATATCGATAGTTATCGCTCATCATCTACTATCTATATTCTTCTTTCCTCTCGCAAGGAGGCCCTCAGTGTTGCGGCCATGTCTGGGGATATTCCAGGTCAAGCCTCAGATGTGCACCTGCTCATCAATGAGGCAAAGGCAGTAAGTTGAGTTGTCTTTCCGAGCCAATTGAGGGATCGAGGGCTGAAAGCCATTCCTGGTTCTAGCTAGTGTCGCAGCTCTATGATCCGGCAAATACTGGCAACCCCGCCAAGATTAAGGCGATCCAAGAGCACCTGCAGAGTCTTCAGAAAGGCCCTCAAGCATGGCTCATTGCAAATCACCTTCTCGCTGAGGACAACACTGACCTGAGATTTTTTGGAGCTCTGACTTTTACTGTAAAAATAAATCAGGATTGGTGCGTGTCCTCCTAGCGACTTCATTGTGCGAGACCTTCTGACTCTGGCCGTAGGCAACACCTGAGCACAGAAGAAGCCCAGGAGCTACTAGGACGGCTGCTTGATCATTATGTTATGTTGGTCAATGGAGGCGAGCGTTCTTTAGTCGTACGAAAACTAGCTTCCAGCTTAGCGACCATCTTCCTGAAACCCAACGCTCCCTGGACACGGGCACTCTGCAATCTAGCGGCTTCCTTAGCAGATGGCAAGTATGTCTCGGAGGAACATTGCAAGGATGTCGACCTGAGGAATACCGTGCTCCCCGCTTTGTCTGAGGGCCAGGTAACTTCATTGCTCTACTTCTCTAATACTCTTGGAGAGGAAATTCACAAATGGAGCTCCGAAGCCCGTCGCAATCGAGATGATCACCCAGTTTCTGAGAACATCAAGGATGCTTTTGTACTCGTCGACGTCGTTCTTGGTCACATACTGCAGCAGGTTGCATCAGGGGCTCACTTGTCTGAGGATAGTCTGGGGGATGAAGCCATTAATTCCTACCAGGTGAGATCAGTTGTCTTCTGTGCTCCTGTCTCATCTAACATTTGGTGTAATAGACATGGATGTCCGTCCGAAGCGCATTTCAGCTTCGTGACATGATACCTGTATCGCAACTCGCTCCTACTACGACCTACGTGATTCAATGCATGAGGATTCCAGTTCTGTCAAAAACTGCGACCCAAGTCGTGGTCGAGTTGATAGATTGGCGGGACACAATCTTCACTCCAAGTCATATCACCGCCATCTTGGACTATATTGTTTGTGATTATGGTACTGCGCATATTGCTTCATTGATGGAGGGCGACTTCGAGGACGAGAATTTGACCTTCTTGGAGCTTCTCCTGGCATATTCAACACTACAGCAACGGGATCTGCTAACGAAAGCATTGGACCCGCAACATGAGAAAGTACTCGCTCTGCTACACACACTTTTTAAAGCGCCTGGCTATGCATCGGTGGACGATTCGGCTTCTCCTTTGGTTCTTGAATGGTGGACTGAGGTTGCCGATGATCTTCAGGAAATATATGTGGATTCGGAAGATCAAACGGGGCTTGGGCCTGCGAAGCACAACCTTGCTCGTGCAGCACTGGATTGTTTCGAAAAGCTCAAGTACCCCAGTCCAGCAGAGTTGCAAGACTGGAGCGACGATGAACGCAGTGAGTTCGGGGCTTTTCGGCGGGATGTCTGTGACTTTCTTCTAGCGATATATCCAATGCTGGGTGTAGAACTGGTTCAGGTCTTTCAGGAGCGAGCGAGATCGTCACTTCAACAGCAGGATTGGCGAACGTTCGAGGCCTCCATCTTCTGCGTTGCTCAGCTCTCCGAGGCTGTCGATGAGAACCAACACGCTGATGAATGCCTCAATTCAATATTCTTCTGTGATGAATTCGCAAACTTATGCGAGGGAAACGGAGTAGTCATCCCAGACAAACCACGTCAAACGTTGGTGGATATGCTCGGAAAATATCAGTCATACTTTGAGCGCACACATGCTCTGCTTCCCCGGGTGCTGACGTTTCTCTTTGCGTCCCTCGAAGTTGGTCCCTGCGCGTCAGCAGCGTCCAAGTCGATCGCATATCTCTGCAAGTCATGTCGCAATGCTCTTACGCTGGAGCTGCCTGCCTTCATTGGGCAATTTGAGCAATTCCGCTTCAAGCCCACAGCCACGGCTCACACTATGGAGAAGGTGCTGGAGGGCATCGCTGCGATCATACAAACCGTACCCGAGGATGGCGCAAAAGCCCAGTACCTCGAGCAAATCCTTCGGATTTTCCATGAGCAGGCAACCGCAGCCCGTGAAGAAGCTGCCAATGGGCTCATTGAACAAGCACAGAGCCGTGCCCAGCTCGTGCTACGATGCGTTGCCAGCGTTGGCAAGGGTCTCCGAACCGATGGTGAGATCAACTTAGACTCTCACGAAGACAAGGAAGCAGATGCTTACCCGCCAACTTTCTGGAATATGGGCGATGGGGCTGTTGTACAGAACCTCATCATGCAGTCCATGCAGCTCCTCATGACTGGTTTCCCTGTGGATGTGGCGATTATCGAAGCTACCTGCGACATACTAAAAGCCGGCTACACTGAGCGGACGGGCCCCTATGTGTTCCCACCGATGATGACTGTGGATTTTGTGAAGAGTATCCCCCTGGGTAGTGCGGGTACCGATATGGTCATGGGCACTGCCTCCGCCTTTCTTGCATCACACAGCTCCCATCCACAGCGAATTCGTGATGAGACCGTTGCGTTGATCGTCCACGTTTACGAGACATTCTGCTGGATGCATGAGGAACCAGAGTGCTACGATCCCGAAGTCGCCAACAGCGGGATCGATTTCCTGACGCGCTTGCTTCCGAAATACCACCCTTTCCTCTTCGCGCTCACCTCTATACCGCAGGAACCCGGCCCGACGGCCACTCAGTCGCGACCAACTATTCTAAACGCTATCTTGAACTTCACACTGATCTCACTGCAAGGCCCCGAACCCCTTCCGCTCCGCTCCGCGTCGCAATTCTGGGTGAGCGTGTTGAACCTCCCCGGCGATGCCCCACCCATTCAGAATGCCATCCGTGAATGTCTGCCTGCCCTCTGCCGGATTTTGATGACACAATTCGCCGGCAGATGTGCCCGGTCGGATCTCGAGCACCTGTGCGAGGTGCTTCGCAAAGTCATTTTCAAGCAACAGGGTGCGGCTCGGCCGCATCTTACTGCGGCGTTGGCCGAGCTGGATGAGGCCGTTGATCAACACCAACGACCAGCCGTCACACCAGAAGAACGACAACGCTTCCTTGCGTCATTGTTGGCCGCAAGGGGCGCCAGAACACAGACCAGTCAATTGGTACGCTCGTTCTGGGTCAAGTGCCGGGGTGACTCGTTCAATTACGTCGGATAGGGATCGTAGGATAGTCTGAACAGTTTCAAACAATAACTATTGGACTTGAGTTCCATTCGGAACAGGGTTTGGTGCCAAGCAAATCGTAAAGACTCCAAGATGTCGCAATACCATGATAAAATGTATATCATGCAGTAAAGATGTGAATGGGGGACTGATGTGCGATGCAAAGAAGGAATGAAAAATGTCAGCGATTTTAGAGTCGCAAAGGTGGGCTATCTGGAACAAGCCCTTGAATTCCTGGTGGTTGAATGGTTGAACTATCTGAGTTCTCAAGGTGGGCAAACTCGCTTGGTAGTAAATCGCCTCGGATCACATGGGCTGGATTACTCAAGAACGCCGATAATAATAATACTCTCTCTCTCTGAGTGCCAGACCGCAGCAGCCTACAGTCCAAGATCTCCGCTGAGGGTCAGTGCTTCCAGTACATCCTGTGTTTTACTTTTCATGTCACTGGTGGGACAAGCCAGATTGTCTGCCTCAGGCATCACTGCAGCACTGTAGAATTTGCCTCCAAGCGGGGGCGATCGGCTTTTGGCGGACCGCTGATTCCTCCGCCACTGAGGCGGTGCGTCCCAATTCAATGAACCTGAAATTGGGAGTCTGGTAAACAAACTAACAAACATGTAGCCGAGGTCTCCATCGAGCAGTGGCCAGGGCGGAAAGAGAAGGTCCTATTTTTAGGGCTGTGGCTGTATGCTGCGAGTTGTATGCATCTGTCCACCAACTGGTGATTTGCTGTCCTGCAAAATCTCCAATCACTCCACTTCTAAAGTTACTCCCCGCCTGCACTGCACTGCACAATGAATGCATCGAGTCTCAGGATTTCCCATGCCAGCCATGCAAATCACCATCTGAATCGGGTGGGCAGGGGGATCATCATCCAATGACGCGACGTCATGCCCTACGAGACTGCCGATAATGCCCCCTTTTTGTGTGGGCTTGGTCAGTGCTCTCAGCGCCCTCGTGTTTTGGCTTAGACGCGATGGTGGATCTGGCGCCTGGGGAGCAGCAGCATGGACAACATAATAAGAAGTCGTCGCCATGTCTCCTCCGCCGCGTCGCCCTGACCCTGCATCCTGACCACTTCCCACCATGCCGGTGATCGCCAACACCCCCGAAGCACTCATCGCCCGCACCGATTCCTGCGACCCGGAGACGACATGTCAAGGGCTGACCAACAGCGGCAAGCCATGCCGGCGCGCACTCGGCGATCCCACCGACCGATACTGCTGGCAGCATAAGGACCAAGCTGCCACCGAGTCGCCCGGGACGAGCACGCCGTCCGCCATGAACCCCAACAAGCCGCGGACGAGCATCGACACCCTGCTGGACCGGATCGGGATCCTCAACATCAACGACGGGGCGTCGGAGAAATGGCGACCGTCGCGCCCCACCACCAGCAGCAACAAACCGCCGAAGCGACAGAAGAAACGCACCATCTGCTGCTGCTTCGAGGTGATCGAGGAGGAGGAGATCCGGCCGCCCAGGCCCGTCTCCGCGCGGCCGCCCTCCCAAGCGGCTGCCCCGGGCCCCGTCCCGCAGGCCAACCTGCTCTCGCCCAACAGCCAGATCCCGACGCGGCCATCCGCGCAGACCTCCTCCCACTACTCCTCCACCTCGTCCGGGATCCCCGAATCCTGGATCCCCGCCGACCTCAGCGCGGAGGCGGCCTCGACGCTGGCCTCCGAGCTCGACAAGCCGATCTCCGAACGCGACGAACCGGGCTACATCTACATGTTCTGGCTGACGCCGGAGGAGACCACAGGGAATGGGGGAGGAGCGCGCGGTCCGCCGCCGGCCGAGGTCGCCAGCTCGCTGTTGCCACACCACCACAAGTCGAGTGGCGGCGGCGCGCGCGACCGCGCCGTCAGCGACGCGATCCGCACGGCGCGAGATCTCCGGGCGTTGACCTCGGCGCCCAGCGCCACCAGCCCCGGCACGATCCGGCTGAAGATCGGGCGGGCCAACAACGTCCAGCGCCGGTTGAACGAATGGTCGCGCCAGTGCGGCCACCACGTCACCCTGATCCGGTACTACCCCTACACGCCGTCGACGCCGCAGCCGTCCCCGGCGCGGTTTGGTGGGGGGACTGTGCACGACAACGCCGCCCTCGAGCCGGGCCGGAAGGTGCCCTTCGTCCACCGCGTCGAGCGGCTGATCCACCTGGAGCTGGGGGATGTGCGGGTCCGCGACATGGGCAAGTGTCCGGAGTGCGGGCGGGAGCACAAGGAATGGTTCGAGGTGACGGCGGAGAAGAGCTCGCTGAAGCGGGTGGATGACTGCATCCGGCGCTGGGTGAAATGGGCGGAGGTGCAGGAGAAGCAGAACCGGTAGGGTAGGCCAGCCCGTAGCTATCACGGTGGTATACGTGAGTCTGCAGCGTTGACCGGTCATTATCATCAATATCATTATACCCCGACACGCACCCATAGAACCGAAACACAACCAACAGTACACCTCGCTAAGCAGCGCAACCTGATATCGATATCTGTTGAAGACGCAAGCATCCCACAATAGAAAGCATCAATTTTCCATCGCATCGTATCGCAAGCAATCCTAGACTCCATACCCCAACCATCCCCCTTAATAAACCATCGAAATCACCCTCCATCCCCAATCCCACATCCATACCCCCAACCTAATCCTTGACCCTCCCGTCCCCCTCCGCACCCCCCCAAACCCCCAACCCCCACCCAAACACTTCCATAGACTCCCCCCTCAAAACCCTCCCCACGACCCTCCCCAGCACAAAAACCGCCCACCCGAACCCCCAAATCCCGACCCCCAAACACCCCGTCCCCACCAACACAGGCCCCATCACCAACATCGCCAAGCCCGCAAACACCGCCCCCGCAATGAAGGCCGCCACCAGCACGCCGCCCAGGAACAGGCACACAGGGATGCCGGAGCAGAGCACCTGTGCGGCCACGAAGGTGGCGAGCACCGGGTGGGCGAGGATGAGGTGTGTGAGGCGGGAGAGGGGGCCGGTTGCTTGAGTAGCATCTGTAGGAGTGGGAATTGCAGTAGGAGTAGCAGTAGCTGTTGTGGTGTATTTGGTGTTGTTGGTGTTGTTGGTGTTGTTGGTGTTCTTGGTGTTGTTCTTGGTGTCGTCGGTGGTGTCGGAGGTAAATGGATAGTGACGCTTGTGGCACGCGATGTCATTGTCATTGTGACGCTGACGCTTAAGGTAGTCAATATCATCGTCCTCGAGATATTTCATGGTGAGCGGTTGCTGTTCGGGGAGGGCGTGGTGGTGCAAGATTGTGGCGTCCTTAGCTGGCTGTTGCTTCTGCTGCCGCTCCTGCTGCTTTTGGCCTGGTTCTTCGGTGGGATGTTCCGAGCGTCCAGGTTCTAGTTCTGGTTCGGGGTCTGCTTCTTCGGACGCGAATTGCGAGGGGATCATGGGGTCGATTGCTGCCATTTTGGGAATTATTCGTTTTTTTCCTTCCACTGGGAATAATAATGTTTTTGATTGAGTTGTGTCTGAGGATGAGTCTGAGTATGTTGACCGTCAGGTCTCAGATCGAATCGGAGGCAATGAGAGTTGTACAAACGACAGAACAGCTCAGCTAACGTAAGAACCGTTGGCTTAGGGGAGGAGCAGTTCTTCCACCTGTAGAATATTGTGCCTACCAAAGTAATCCCGACTAAGGCAGTAACTACCGCATCGATTGCCCTGCGGACCGGACCTTGCACTAACCCGGGAACTACTGCCCGCACCCACGAATCACAACCTGCACGAAAAAGTGATCGACTGTATTCGTAATCCCGTCACATACCGTACACCGTACAATACAGCAAGTCACCTGACCGTCACGGGGAGTAACCTCCCTGCCCCCCGATCACGGATGGCGAAAAACCACTCATCTGTTAAGGTTCGGGTGATCAGGGATCCTCCCCTTGCAACAAGATTCGAGAAGCACACTCGCGCATCTGTCGCCGATAAGATCCGGTTTTCCAGTCCGTGGATTTGGGGAAACCCCCAATTGATAGGGATTGAGTACGAGAATTGCATGTCACCTGCCTCAGACACCCAAGGTTTGCTCGGAAGGTCGTCGGAATGGAAGGCGAAAAACATGGCCAACAGGTGAAGAGAGTCAAAGTGAGCTGTTCCGCGGAAATTGCCGCGGTTGCAACAATGGGCTAACTGACGATGAGACCCATCCACCAAATATTGGGGCCTGGAATGGATTAGACACGGCTCCACTCTTGCAGTCTAACTTCCTCACCGGGGAAAGCTTCGATGGGTCCCTACGTGGACAACTGAACAGGACAGTATTCGAAGATGTTGCTCATCATTGCTCGTATGGATTGGAATGTACAGTGAGAATGGGTAGGAAGAAAAATATCTAATGCTAAAAGCCGACCAGCTGTCCCAACTTTTTATCTCTCAAAACGCCCGCGCGATGGTAGAAGAAAAGACAACAGGACATGTACAAGCGACACCGCTTACCAACCGCGTTTGGCCAGCTTGTCGGCCTCAGGCAGATGCGCAACATTGATACCGACCATGGCCTCGCCCAGACCCTCGCTCACCTCAGCCAGGACCTTGGGGTCCTTGAAGTGAGTCACAGCCTGGACGATGGCCTTGGCGCGCTTCTTGGCATCACCGGACTTGAAGATGCCAGAGCCGACGAAGACACCGTCGCAGCCCAGCTGCATCATGAGCGCCGCGTCGGCGGGCGTGGCAACACCACCGGCGGCGAAGTTGACCACGGGGAGACGGCCCTTCTCGGCGGTCTCGCGTAGAAGCTCGTACGGGACCTCCAGCTGGCGGGCGTAGGCACGGAGCTCGGGCTCGGGGTCGGCAGAGGACTGCAGGATGGCGCGAGCACGAGCAATGTCGGCGTTGACGGTGCGCATGTGCTTGACAGCCTCCACAACATCACCGGTACCAGCCTCACCCTTTGTACGGATCATAGCGGCGCCTTCGGCGATACGGCGGAGAGCCTCGCCCAGGTTACGGCAACCGCAGACGAAGGGGACCTTGAAGCCGTGCTTGGTAACGTGGTAGACATCGTCGGCGGGGGTAAGGACCTCGGATTCGTCAATGTAGTCGACGCCAATGGCTTCGAGGATCTAACAGCATGACTTGTTAGCGTCAACGTCCACGAGAAACTGGTAACTGCTCCTACCTGGCACTCGACGAAGTGGCCAATACGGGCCTTGGCCATCACAGGAATGGTGACAGCCTCCATGATCTCCTTGATCATACCCGGGTCGGACATACGCGCCACACCACCCTGGGCTCTAATGTCGGCGGGGACACGCTCGAGGGCCATGACAGCGGCGGCGCCAGCCTCTTCGGCAATGCGAGCCTATGCAACTCTCATTAGCATTGACAGAATTGATCGAGCTTCCCGGAGTAAAGCATACCTGCTCCGCATTGACGACGTCCATGATCACACCACCCTTCAACATCTGAGCCAAACCGGCCTTGACAGTGAAGCTGTCGGTAGCACCGTTCTGTTGAGCAGCCATTGTGATAGGGACTGAGGGGTGAGATTGGCAGAATTGCTGCGGGAAGGAAGATGAGCTTGGAGATGGACAGAAGGAAGGAAAAAGAAAAGAAATGCCACCGAAGGGACCAAGGTTAAATATGAACGGAAGGAAGAGAGTTGGTTACCTGGAGAGACTGGCCAGACTTGCGAGTGAGTCAACGAGGATGAACTGATTATCTCAGCGTCGCCGCCGAGAACACCCACCCATTCAGTCTCCGACGAAGGTTCAGTACCTCATCCTTGGGAAAACAGTGCCTCCTACACCAATGACTGCGAGGGTTCCGAGTTTACCCCTCGTTGTTCTTCCCCGCCGGCGACTGAGAGGCTTCCTGGGTAGTGGGGAGTTGTTCAGCCCATTTCCACTGGATTTCTGCCCCTCGTCAGTGGCAGGGCGGAAGTACGGGCCAATCATTGCGTTGCCGTGCCTCTGAGCCTTCCCTTGACATTTTCTAACTTGCCACTAAACTCGGAATGGCGCTTCGCCCCTCCGTTTAGCTTTCCGCGGGTTTTGGTAGCCGCGTTTTCGTATCGTCACTTCCCGCTTATGTAAGATATCTCTGCTGTTCGGTCTGATCAGCATCGGTAATACAAATACAGCTGCTGCCTCAGGCGCCAACTCGAGGTCTGGAATACTGGTGGCTTGAACTATGAATATACCGAGTAGGTTAAGACACTCACATATTGAACTACATTCAATTCCTGTACACTGTTAGATAGGACGGACCTTAAGCGCTTTCTTCTGTCTACTCAAGCAATTGAATCTATATGCTTGCCCCCATCCAATATATCCTCTCTGCTAATCATCCTCTCCAATACACAACCATCCGAACCGACCCCAGTGACGTCAGCCCACTCCCTCCCTCCACCCCTCCCTCCGCATCTCCAACTCCAACACCACCAGCACCTTCCCCCCTTCTACAGACATCTCTCCTCAACCTCATCCCTCCAACTCTAATTCTTTTCAAACCCTCTCACACAATCCAGCAAAACAAACCAGAAGCCCTCACAACCCTCCATCCGACCGACCAAAACCCAACCCCAGACCCAGACCCAAACCCAAACCCAACAACCCACCCAGAAAAAGCAATGGCATTTCTCCTCTCACGCACAACGACCACCCTCGTCGGCACCACCCTCGGCCTCGGCCTCACCTTCACCCTCCACCCCCTCTCGCCCTTCCGCGCCGCGCCCCTCCAATGCCAATACTCCGCCCCCTCCGCCGCCACCGCCGCCGGCACCCCCGAAACCAACTGGACGGTGCCGTCGTCATCCGACCCCACGATCCTCAAACAAGGCCGCACGGGCCCGATCCTCACGGCCTCGAACATGCGGCAGGTGAGCTTGGGCAGCGTGCTGGGGCTGGTGGTGGGCGTGGGGCTGCGGGCGTTCTCGCGCGTGCTGGTCGTGTTGATCGGGATGGGGATTGTGGCTGTTGAGGTATTTCCCCTTCCTCCCATCGTTTTTTTGAGCCTGTCTCGCAAGCGGGGGCTAGTTCTTGGGTATTAAGTAGGTGGAGTTTTAGCTAACTGTTCAATAGTGGGCCGCGGCCAAGGGGTACAATATCCTGCCCGTCAATACGGTCCAGAAGTACGTGAAGCGGGTGGATTTGCAGGGCGCGGTGTCGAAGCATATCCCCTTCAAGTTGAGCTTTGGGGTGACGATGGGGTTGGCTGCTTTTGCGCAGTTTTAGGTTTTGATTGTTGTGGTGGTGGTGGTGGGTGTTAGTGGGTGGGTGAGAAGAACGGTTTATGTAGAGTTAAAATAAATGGGGCCGGACTAATTCAACTGAGCAACTTCATCCAATCATGATTATATAGATTCAAGATTTTGGTTGCTGTCTTATACAGGGTATCATTATTGCGATGAGTCGAGCCCCAGGAAATCCATTCGCATGTGCTCCGTCTTGGAGCACTTCTGCTGCAAACCAGGGCTGGCTCAAGCCAAAACCAAATCCTCCAAAACGCCCTCCATCTCCTCCCGCGCCAACGGCACGCCCAGGATCTCCATCCCGCTTGCATCCATCCGGGACGTGATCATCTGGTGATCGTGGAACTCCTTGAGCAACGTCCGGAACATCATCTCGGAACTCGCGATGAACTCCTCCGCCGCCTTCTGGTAGAGGGCGCGGAACTCGATCCCGGCGGCGGCGGCGGCGTCCTCCCCCCGCGCACCACCACCGCCACCTTCCTCCCCCTCGTCGTCCGATAGATGGCCCTCATCCGACAGGGACAGAAGCTCCGTCAGCAGCAGCTGGTACAGGTTGCGCGCGTTCTCGGGCAGACTCTTCAGGACGAATTCCACGCCCTCCTTGCCGCCGACGCGCTGGCCCTTGCGGCCGAGCAGGGCGCTGACCTCCTCCACCACATCGAATTCCGCGTCGAAGGGGGCAAAGGTCGTGCAGTCGTGGAACACGAAATTGAACTGGTCCCGGAGGTTCAGGTCCCACATCAGGAGCACGTTGGGCGTGTCGGCCGTGGCGAGGAGGTTGATCTGCGGGGTGGCGGCCAGGCGGGCGAGGAGGGCTTGGTTCGTGGCGCGGCGGAGGGAGGGGGCGTCGATGGAGTTGATGAGCACCGTGATGGGGGGACTATCGGAATCGCGGGCATTTAGGCTGGACTGCAGCAGCTCCAGGACCTCTTGGGGCTGCGAGCCCATCTTCGACGGGATGTCTGCGCCCAGCACCGCTGTGACGATCGTCGCGAAGATGGACCGTATCGAGACGCCTGGCGTGTGGCCGTTGACAATAATGACGGAGGGAGGTGAGATCGTAGCGGTGTCGTCGTCTTCACTGTCGGGGGAGTGGCGGCGGTATTGCCAGTCGGCGAATTCCTGTAGCAATCGACGCTTGGATCCGTAGCCGTACAGGCAGATGTTGAACCCCTGGTCGAATTCAAAGTCCCATTGGGGGAACGACCGGCAATGCAGGTCCAGCAACAGGGCCTTTTCCTCCTGGAACGGATCCACCCACTGCGCCATCTTCTCGAAATACTCCTCGTGCGTCAGGAGGTTCACCTTGCTGAGATTGCTATTCGACGTCCGCGGCGGTCCCGCCCGGTTCTGGAAGAAGTAGCGCTCGTGCGCCGGGAGCTCGCCCTCGGGCGTGGGAGAGCGTTTGTTCTTTGCGCCCTTTGGTCGTCCGGCTCGACGTTTCGGGGTCGGTGCTGCTGCATCCCCGGCTGCTGGCTCCTCGGATCCTGCCTCGACGGATCGTATCACTCCATCTCCATTGGTGGCCGAGGTTGCTGGCGTTGATTCCTGAAGGGCCGTCTCGTCATCGTCTTGTAGGATTTCCTCCGCAAGGCGATCAGCGCCATCCCAGATCTCATCGTCGTCTTGTTCCAGCAGCAGGCGGGCGCTCTTCTTCTTTGCGGACCGGTCGGCATTTCGAGCCTTGGACGGGGTGTCAGGCGCAGTTGTCTGTTTCGTGGGCGTCGAGAATAGAGCCTTCGCCTTGTTCTTGTGTGTGGGAGTCTTCAATCCCGAGGCTTTCAGGGTAGCTGGAGTGTCCGCAGTCGGCTTCTTGGGAGTCGACTTTATTTTCTTCGCTGGGGTGCCTTCAGGGGTTTTTTCCCTGGCCGCATGCCCGTTCACGGCGCCATTGGTCGGTGTATCGGTAGTCCTCGGCCTCTTCGGCGTCGAGACAGGCGGCGCTTCGTCCGTATCTGGTTGCTTGCGTTTCATTTTAGTTAACTTGGTTGGGGAAGGTGAGCGGAATTGGGTCGGTGAAGAAATACCATCCAGACAACAACACGGAATAATCACCGGGTTTAACTAAGAATAAAGGAAAAGAAAAAAGAAAACAATATGATGCAAGGGGGTTCCACCAAGTAAGCTCGAAGCACCACAGCTTTCTCTTCTCTCTTCACAAGGAATTGAGGAATGCTCTCCCGTACGGTTCAACCCTCGTGGCTCTGGCTCTCTCTCTCTCTCTGGGCGCGTCTTCGAAGCGCAACCGATAGGACCGAGGGTTTTTCCGACTCCGCGATATCGGAAGCGGCATCTCATCGCCGCGCATCGCATCACTGCGGGACCGGCCCTGGGAGTTTCACTCGCCGATATAATTCACGCAGCAAAGAAAGAGCTTCTGTCCGTCGTTTCGATTGACAACTCTCGTCGTGGTTGTTTGGCAGTGGTCTCGCGCGTCCACCTCGCCTACGCAGGAGCTAGCTGGAAGCTTCTGATAAGCCAGTGAGTCATTTTGTTTACCATTTGCTTTGAGTCATTTTCGGGGCTGTCTACTGCAAGTGCCTCCGTGTATATCTACCCAATCTCCCAGACCACGTACCCTGGGGGTCATGAGGACCAAACCTTCCACAACTATATCAATTGCGTGTTGTTTCCACAGTTAGTGCTGGGACCCTAACTAAATTCTCACTTTTTCCAGCCCAGGAAGCCCCCTTCCAATGGCTATTCCCGCGCAATCGGCGGCCACCACCATGGCTACCTTCACCCGCATGGTGAAGGGCCAGGTGCGCCATTACTCCGCACCCCTGGACATGGCCATCCCCGCCTCCAAGCAGAAGTACATCCCTTCGTCCGGGTCCTACCCCAAGGGGTTCTCCGTCTCGGGGACTCACGTCGGCGTCAAGGCCTCCAACACCAAGTTCCCGGACCTGGCCCTCATCTCCTCCGAGACCCCCTGTACCGCGGCCGCGGTCTTCACCACCAACAAGTTCCAGGCCGCCCCCGTGCAGGTCAGCCGCAACATCCTGCAGACCCGGCAAGGCCAGGGCATCCGGTCGGTGGTGATCAACTCTGGGTGCGCCAACGCGGTGACCGGCAAGGGCGGACTAGAGGATGCGACCAACATGGGTGCCAAGGTGGATGAATGCCACGGCCTCAGCGGGGAGGAACCCAGCACCCTGGTGATGAGCACCGGAGTGATTGGACAGCGGTGCGTATCTTCCTCCCAATCCCCTCGTCCCTCACCCTGAAGACTAAACCCAACTAACCCTCTGGTCTCCCCCCAAAATAGCCTCCCGATCTCCAAGATCCTCTCCAAGATCCCCACCGCGCATTCGACCCTCTCCTCGACGCACGATAGCTGGCTCAGCACGGCGCGCGCGATCTGCACGACCGACACCTTCCCGAAGCTCCTCTCCACAACCTTCACGCTGCCCAGCTCGCCGGGCCGCACGTACAGCCTGGCCGGGATGACCAAGGGCGCCGGGATGATCCACCCGAACATGGCGACCCTGCTGGGCGTGCTGTGCACCGACGCGCCCATCACCGCGGACGCGCTCTCGGCGCTCCTGAAACACGCCGTGTCGCGGTCCTTCAACGCCATCTCCGTGGACGGCGACACGAGCACGAACGACACGATCGCGATCCTGGCCAACGGCGCCGCCGGCGGCGCCCCCGTGACGAACAGTCAGAACTCGGACGACTACCGCGCGATGCAGACGGTGCTCACGCGATTCACGCAGTCGCTGTCGCAGCTGGTCGTGCGGGACGGCGAGGGCGCCACCAAGTTCGTGACGGTGCGCGTGCAGAACTCGCCGGACTACGACTCGGCCAAGCTGATCGCCAGCACCATCGCGCGCTCCCCGCTCGTCAAGACCGCCCTGTACGGCCGCGACGCCAACTGGGGCCGCATCCTCTGCGCCGTCGGCTACACCCAGAACGTGAAGGACGGCGTCGTCGTGCCCGACCGCACCAGCGTCAGCTTCCGGCCCGTCGACGGCAGCCCCGAGCTCAAGCTGCTGGTCAACGGCGAGCCCGAGCAGGTCGACGAGGCCCGCGCCGCCGTCATCCTCCAGGAGGAGGACCTCGAGATCGTCGTCGATCTCGGCGGCGGCGCGCTCGGCCCCCAGGGCGCCGGCGGCGAGGAGGCCGTCTACTGGTTCTGTGATTTCAGCCACGAGTATGTCACCATCAACGGCGATTATCGGACTTGATTCCACAAATTCCTTTTCCGGTGTTTGTCACGTCTGATATGGGTGGAACGAGGCGATGTGGGTTCGCTGGAATTTTGTCTCCAAAAAAAAAGCGCAGTTAGAATGCTTGGATTAATTATTCTCTGAATGCGAGCCTTAATATGAGTCACGGTCATCTGTTCGCCTTTTCCATACAAAACATCCTAGCCGAGTAGTCCATCATGACCCATGAACGATGCTGGGCACTACGTTGTAATGCGAACTACTAATCCTACAAGCAGAACAAACTAATCAATCGGTTCCCACCCGAGTCACCCCAGATGCTCAATGCCCTTCCAATGCAATTTTCAGGTCTTTGATCGAATATGGTTACAGACCAGGTAGTGCTATGTACAGCTGTGGCTTTTCAACTTTTCCCGCAGGGAGCAAGGAAATATCTGCCCTCAAAAATAGGTGACTGGCCATACATTCATCAAGAATTCAAACCATCCAGATTGCACAGCCACAGCCGCACACTACCTGGTGAAAATAAAAAGAAGATATAAAAACATAAAACCTACAATCCCTCTTCTCATACTTCATCAGAAATGTCCCTAAGCCTCCCTGCTTAGTTACCGGGGACGAGGCCACGGAGGCCGGCGCCAATGTCGCCCTCACGGGCGGCAATCTCAAAGTATCCGTAGATGATGCTAAAGTTGGGTTAGCGATGTTTCAAACAATGCAAACAGACTGTAGACTTACGTCACGGCGAGAAGGATACCAGTACCGCTGCCAAGAGCACCGAGAAGGTCAGAGGCAACGGAGAGGGCACCAATACAGGCACCACCGAAAGCAGCAGCGGTAGGGATGACACGCTTGAGCTCCTTGTACATGCTCTGCTCACGGTGGCCGGCCATCACGAGACCCTGGTCCTTGAGCTGCTTGGCAACATCACGAGGAGCAGAGCCAGAAACCTCGATCCAGGTCTTGGAGAAGAGAGCACAGGCAACGAGCATGAAGGTGATGTAGACAGCAGTGTGGATGGGGTCCAGAAGAGCGTCCTTGAAGTTCAAGGGAGGTGACATGTAGTAGGCGATACCGGAGGAGGCGTGGAGCTGAGCAGTTCCGTCACGGGGCTCCCAGACACCGAGAAGTCTCACGAGGAGGTTGTCAGAGAAGCGGGAGTACAGCATCTGGCTGATCAGGAAGATGTTGGAGCACAGAGCGGACTGCAGCATGATGGGCATGTTGGAGGTGTAGAAGAGACGGACGGGGTAGGATCCACGCATTCCACGCTGGCGGGAGGACTTGACTGGGATCTCGACACGGAAGCCCTGGAGGTAGATGACGGCGGCGAAGACCAGGAGAGTGGCCAGCAGGTTCATGATGTTGGGGAGGTTCTGGCGGTAGAAAGCCTCGCGCAGAGCACGCTGCTTGTCGGACCAGGTCAACAAAAGGTGGAAGAGAGCGATGATAGCACCCTCGAACTCGGGGCCACGGCCGGTGTTGATGGTCGTGGGGGAGAACGCCTTCCAAACGATGGACTCGCAGATGTTGGTGGCAATGAACAGAGAGATACCGCTTCCAAGACCGTATCCCTTCTGCAGAAGCTCATCCAGAAGAATAACAACCAGACCAGCAACGACAAGCTGAACAATCAGGAGAACGCAGATACCAGCACCAAGGTCGCTGGGCTGGCCGTAGAGACCAGTGAGAACGTACACGCAGGCCTGGCCGAAGGACAGAATGATAGCGAAGAGCTTCTGGGCAGTCTGGTAGAGCTCGCGGTCGGTCTTGAGGTCAAGGTTGACATCGATGAGGTGGGTACCAGCGAGGAGCTGTGAATCCACGCTGTAAGTATGCGATTTTCGATCAATGATGCGGCCGGAATCAGCTTACCTGGAAGACCATGCCGGAGGAGATGATAGGGGTGATACCCAACTCCATCAGAGTACCACGGTTACTGGCCAACATCATACGAAGCCAGTAGAGAGGATCGGAAGTGTCAGAGGAGACAATACCGTACAACGGCATTTGACTCATGACAAGGAAGATGAGCAGGGTGAGCTGCGGGCGATCTATTAGCTCGGACCATCTCGTCGATATTTTACAATGTGTCACATACACCGGTCCACATCAACTTCTGGTTGAAGGGCACCTTGGTCTCGGGGGCTGCCACCTCCGGAAGGAGGGGCGTGAAGGGCTTGATAAGATCGAGAAACCGGACTAGTATTAGATGTCAGCAATTGTTGAGCCATTGAGGAAGTTGGTGGATCGCTGTCGCGAAGATGAATGCGATCGCGTGCAGAACTCACGTCCACTCATTGTGACTGTCTTTTTCCCGAGATTACTGGGCTAAGACGGTACAAGAGAAAAGGAAAAAAAGAAGGAGAAGCTGGAGGCGAGTACCAGCTGAAGGAATGGAGGGGAAGAAATACAAAAGAAGAAGGGAAGATGAGAAGAAAGGATGGAGGGGAGGGAAAGGGAAAGGAGAGAGGGAGAGGAAGCAATGATGAGGTTCGGGGAGCGGAGGAGGAGATGAGAGGGAAGCGGGAGTCGCCTCGCTGGCCACTTTCACTCTCCAGCCACGCTAACCCGTTGAGGCCACTTGGTCGCTTCCACCACCGACCACGGCCGTTTTACCCCATCCAGGGTCCTTCCACTACATTCACAAGAAGTCATGCATCTCCTCCAAATTACTCAGGATATTCTTCATCGTCAGAATTCTGCAAGTTGCTATTCGCTTGCTGAAGCTGTATCCAATGGACTGTCATTCATTTGACATATATGAAATTCGTAATCTATCTTTCAGCACAGGGTATTGTGTAGACCTTCCAGGTGCAGTTGCAAGGTATAATAGTACATATAGTAGCCTCAATCCTCCCAAATATCAAGAAACGAGCCAGCAGCTTCGTTTGCTTTTGTACACTCACACAACTTGTACTTATGCAGCTTTTTTCCTCTGTTCACTGATGATACTCGGGGCTCAGATAAGTCCTCCCCAAAGAGCCATAACCAAGCTGACGGTCAGGGACCAACCAAGCATAAACAATCGTCGATCACATTCTCCAATTCTCCCAGCCTTTCCTTGAGGCCTCTGTTCTCCTCCTTGAGGATGCCTAAGACACTCCAAGCTTCAGAGGAAGGGACACCATGGCAAATGTTGCACTTGGAGGAGTTGTTCCAGGAGCTTGTGATGCCCTTAGGCGTGAGCCCCTTGATAACCCGATCGTACGTCGATTGGCGCGCTGGTGGGGTCGGAGCAGGTTTCAGCTCTTTCTTCGGACTCGATTTCACAGGTACTGATGTGGGGGTCGACAAGGTGACCTGGGAGATGTTTGGGGATGGCGCAACGGTTGAAGCGGGTGACTCGAGCACCTCGCGCCGGGAGAAGACACTCTCCGCAAGACTCTCGTCTCCAGAGTCAAACCCGGAGTCGCTTGTGAAGGTACCATTGCTGGCCCGTTTCAAGCTACGCTTGGGGGTCTGAAGCTCCGCGGCAAGGTCGGATGTGCTGTCATCGTCATCACTTGATCTGATGAGCATAACACTGCGGCGACGCGCATCTTCCTCCTTGCGACGCAACTGCCTTTCCTGCTCTAGTTCTTCGGCCATGGCCTTCATGGCTTTCTCCTGCTCAATGACCTTTTCGGCCATGCCGTCCAGTTGTATTTTCAGGTTACCTATGCGTGTTCGTGTTATCTCGAGTTCCTCTTGCTTTTCGCTCTTGTCGGCCAAAACTTCGTGCAAAGCAAAAGTCCGTTGCTTGTAAGCAGCTTGTAGTCGTCTGAGAATGGTATCTGCATTGCTCCGTAATGCGTCGAAAGCGTCCCGGCCTTCTAAATTACTGAACCCAGGAGGGAACAAAGCAGCATTGATGTCGAGGTTCAGAAACTCGTCGTGCGCAGGCTCAGGGAGCTCAAGCCTGGCTTCCCCTTGGCGTTTCAACCCGAAGAATGAGAACGGACTCGACGAAGTGACCTGCTTTAAGGGCGAAGGTGCCGTCATCCGCTTCTGTGCCCGGCTAGTGAGGCCAGTCGGAGCTGTGGGCATCACGTACGGCTCACGAGCACCTAGTCGCTCCATGGCGTCCTCCTCGTCGTCCAGTTCGTCGGCCTGATATCCCACTCCCAGGTTCACAGGCTGCGATTTGCCTTGGAACCAGCCAGATAGACGTTTCGCACCTTCCTCAAGCCTGCGGCGTGCAGTGTTCTCAGTCGAAGGGTTGGGACGAGGTTTCGCGCTGTCCAGGTCTTCGAATGTTTTGGACTGGTCGGAGAAAAGCTTTCGGGAGGGAAGAGGGGCGTGCCGCTGTATAACCTCGGTGTTTGACCGGCGGTGGAGGGACGCGTGCGAAGGATATTGTTTCGGCGGTAGTGGGGATACGGTATCCGAGCTCTGTGCTAATAAGGTTGCAGGGATGTTCAGGTGGGACGGTCGAACAGCAGCATCGTCAGGCGGGCAGCTTCCATCCTCAGTTCCGATCGGGGCCATTGCGGGCGACGAGGGTTTCAGGCTGTCAACAGCAGGCGTGGCTGTAGATGACGGGTGTTCGACGTCTTGTAGCATGACTGATAAGTCGAAACCTGACTGGGTGGTGGGAAGGGATGGGGACCTGGAATGAAGAAGGGATGTAATCTGTCGCACCACTTGGACACGGACTGGAATGCCACGTCGATATGTTGTCCGCTCCAATGCACGGTCACGTATGCCGCACTCGATAGTCAGCTAAGAAGCAAAAGGGGCAATGAAACGAGTAGGTCCCGAAGCTCTCTCTTTTTTTTTCCGTTGCAGTCTCCTTTCAGCTTGATGCGGGTGACAGCAAACGCAGGATGGCCAATTGACAGCGGGTAGCAGCAGCAATAAATCAAGCCTCGATGAAGTTCCGTACGGCGAAGGCAGTGACTCTTGGGGAAGGGGGCGATCTAGGGAGACGTTTATTCAGGATGATGGAATCGGCCGCCGAGCGATAGCGATAGTGGGCGAGCCCGCACGTGCCCCTGTCAGCGACCAGTGTTAAGGATCCTGCACGTTATACAATAGTCGATGGATCAATATCATTAAACTTGTGGACTAGAATGCGTTAGGCTGTAGTCTGAATAATCGAGAGGTGCGCAGTATCAGATGAGACCCCGAAAACGGCTGTTTACATCCAGACGGCGCACAATCTCGCGAGGTTGGGTGTATATTCTTAGCAACGCTCAACCTGGCCAGCCAACCAGAAAAATTACGGTGGCTGGATTGGGAACTGCTTATGAGGATTTCCCCACTATCACCATGAGGCAATGGCGATTAGCTAGCAAGTCATAAGAGCAAAATGAGTCGATCCAGCAGTGACAGGCTGTGTTGGGCCGTTGTCGTTGTTGTCAGGGCAGTTCCATTGGCCCGTGGAAGAAGAGTATTGATCGGGCAAGATACATATCCACAGTCCGCAGAGTCCACATTACACTGCTCACTTCTGACGACGTCATTTGCGGTCGTGACCAAAATACAATGGTTTCTGTGACGACTGAGTGGGCTGGTAAATCATTGACGCCACCATCAACGCAGCGACGAAAGCACTCAATCTCTTTCCCCCTTTTTCATCTCTTGACCTCCGAGGCCAGATGTGAAGGTCTGGATTCTTGGGGTCCCCGTTTCATGCGGATTTTGGTCTGAAAGGGCCCCGCGGCCCCTGAGGAGAGATTAAAGCAATCTCGGGGTAGGGGGGATTGCCTGCGCGACATACAGGAAAGGAGGCGATCCATGCGCAAAGGGTCGCATCGGCTGTCGGTTGTCAGGAGTACCTCTGTGTACCTGCACTGTGTAGGAACAACATGACTGGCCCATTGTCGGAGAATATAGGTAGATCATGAATCGTACCTTGGACGATGGCTTTGCGGTAAAAGATGCGAACCATGGGAGAGTTGAGGAGGAATCCGTCCTCCCGTCGTGGGTGATTTAGATAGACTTCTGCCTAAGGCGAGGAGGGTCACATGTTCTTGCTTCTTCTACAAACTAATTCAGCTTCTGCCAATTTTCTAATAACAAAGCATTACTCAATCCGATATTAACGGCAGACTTGCTACCACTATGTCTGGACATTGAACTTACTTCCGTGGTCCCATCGAACACAACGGCGTCAACCACTCGATTCAATGGAACCAGACAGCAATTACATACTAGTCTCAAACTCCAGCTTCATCTCTCATCTGAGGACTGTTGATAAAATCACACCGACCAAACAACTTTTCCCACGCTAATGCTTGCTGTGCTGCTGTCATCACACCGACGTCCCCGTCTCTATCTATCGCCACCTCCGACAACCCCAGAGGACCCCCGATGACCTGAATCGACAGCCTACTAGCACTCTCGCTTGATCGCTGCCCATCGCGCATAGTAGGATATGCAGATGACCATTTCTGCATACCAGCACCCTCTCCTCCCGGGCGACCTTCATGCACAAATCCGACAATCGCCTTACTAACCGTCTCACTGAGCGCCAGTTGATCCAACGAGTTATCTGCACCCCCTTCTAAGTGCGGGTTATTGAACACATATGGGATGTCACTGAGATGTGCCACTCTCCACATGGGCACTCCCATCGCTTCAAAGACAGGTGTGAATCTTGTGGCATTGTGCTCGTACAACCAGATCCGCGATGCGTTCAAGCCTCCAGTCTGGGCATACTGCCATGAAAAATCCAATACGGGGCAGGTAAACCAGATATCCCGACTCATCTGCGCCGCACGGTAATATTGCGGCGAGATTCCGCCATCATAGTTCTGGCGGACCATGTGGTTGAAATCTTCCACTGGGTACAATTGCAAGAGTTTCTCTTTCGTTGATCGAGAGAAGCCGTGTAGCCAAAGCCCGAAGCTACCAAGGACGTCTTCGTCTGTGGATGTCTGCGGAGATGCATACCAAGCCCCATCATTGGTCACCCACGACGCTACTATGGGAATATTTTTGACGAATTTACCAGTACGCATCAGTTGAGACGGCCTGCCGTTAAGATAGTCATTGTCGATAGTCGGGTAGAAGTATCCTTCACCGAATGGGGGACGGGCTTTTCGGGCCTCATTGACAGTTACATTGATCAATAAGTCAGCTGGGACCGCCCGCAGGCATTCTAAGGTCTCAATTGATTGGCCATCTTCGTTTTTGGCGCACCCTACTTGCCTGGCTATGGCGACAGTGTTGTTCGCAACGAAGACCGGGTCGCTGTTGAAGTTGACACCGGGTGCGCCGGACATCATCCTGTGTTGCGATAGTCAGTATGGGTACCTATTGCTGTTTATAAATGGCTAACATTGCTTGCTGGAAAGGGACGTTTCGGGAGCCGTTGAATGATGTCAGATGCAGGCCGATGTCGCTGGCTCCCACGCTCTGGCCGATGGCAGTCACTGAATGAAGTGGTCAATCATCGTGCGTCTGGGTCAAAGCCGTGGAAGTGATACCTCTATCTGGGTCACCCCCGAATACTTCAATGTGATCCTGGACCCCTGGGACATATCAGTCCCCGAAGGTCGTTTTAGATACTTTGACGAAGGCATGAAACCTACACTGCAAAGCAACTCGCTGATCGCGCAATCCTGCATTTGTCTGCTTGGTCTCAATCATTGCCTTGCTCGTGGCGAAGCCAAATACTAGGCGACTCAGTATTCGCAAGATCGCAGAAAGCCGAGCGGCTCTTACTTCCTAGTCGATAGTTGATACCAACATAGATCAATGGTTTCCCTGCCGCAGCAGCCGCCCTCACCAAGCCGTCCGGCGTGTACAATATATCGGAGGCTGAACCCAGTGCATGGCCTCCTATTGCGAAATACAAGTAGTAAGAAAGAATTTTTTTTGCACCATTGACAGAGAGGGCTGGACAAACCTCCATGTATCCAGACCGCAACTGGTAGCTTCGCATCCCTCTGCACCCCTGAAGGTCGAGCAATTCGCAGGCTCAGACAGTTCTCACTTATATTGTTCACTTGGCTGGTGAAGGGCAGTATGTCTCCCACGCCTTGAGGACACCAGGCACCGGGCTTGCTAGCATCAATTATGGATCCTTTGGGCGGGCTTACTGGGACTGGGGGTGCAAATCGTCGTTGACCGGTTGGCTCTTCTGCATAAAACACATTCTGGAAGTGCTCGACTCCAGGAGTACGACTTCCAATATATCTGATGTTGCGAGTAAAGTCTGTGACCGTTGGTGGAAAGATGGATGCACTAAGAATGGGGATGTTCGCTCTCTCCAAAAGGTGATGATGGATCTGCGAGTAATATGCTATGATGAGACTGACCGCCACAGCAACAACGCCAAAGAGGAGATTGATCTTGAAATTGGTCATAGCTCGAGATGTTAAGTATGGTTGTTGAGAAGACTACTATCAGCAGATGCTTACAGGCCATAGCTCACAGAGCAGCGTTAGGATTGAGGATCAGACGTGTCGAATGATGACACAGTAACGGGTGTTGGTTCAATTAGTGCTGACTGTTAACCGGGATGTCCGGTTCGCATTTCTTTCTGTGTTCTGCATTCCGACGGCAGAAGCGATATTTCCCAACCCACGAAGTTGAATCTCATCTCTGGTTCTTCAATTCTTTGCAAAGCACCTCCCATAGACAATGGTACTTGGTGTATCTGCCATGTGCCGTTGGCTCCACAATCGGCCCCGCCGAAGATGACGACGATCCCTTCTTCACCTCCATTATTGCAACTGATAATTATCTCAACAGCCGAGGTTTTCCCCCGATATTCTGCGAGTCATGTATCAACTTCGGCCAATGCCATGTCAACGGCTCAATGCTGTCAAACCCCCGTTGAGGCGCCGGGTCCAATAGCTTACGCTAAGTTTAGCCCATCGTCGCCATGTGGGAATATTATCAGGGGCCGCGGCAGCAGAATCTGTCGATCTTACCAAAGCTGTCACCGGATTCGTCTACGATCTAAGCGAAGCGCGTGATAACTCAATCTGAAACAACGACAGCGATTATCCTACGGGGCTAAGTTCTGGTTACGGACTCAACATGCTATTCACCAAGAAGCCTTGAAAGGGTGACCAGCGACAGGAGGCATTATGGGAAGGGGGTCTTGTCTATATAGTTCGACCTTCATCGCCGACTGACTATGATCCCACCCATGTCCACGTGAAGAAAGCATGTTGACATTCCTGCTCTTTGCCCTCCCGGTCGCCGCGCAGCTGTCTGGCGCCGTCGGCCCGACGACCTCCTATGCCTCCAAGGCGGCTAACAAGGTCTGCAACATCGTCGACTACGGTGGCTTTCCCGGAAATGGCACAGATATCGGCCCCGCCTTGTCATCTGCTTGGAGCGACTGTGCCAAAGGCGGACTGGTGTATATCCCACCAGGTAACTTCTCCATGGCGACGTTTCCAGCGCTGAAGGATGGTGTCTCGTCGGCCGTACAACTAGACGGGGTGGTTCATCGCACTGGGGCCGAGGGCAGTACGATGTTTTCCTTCCGCAACTGCAAGGACTTCGAATTCTTCTCGGGTAACTCCCGCGGTGCTATACAAGGCTATGGCAACGAGTACTTGTCGCAGGGCGAGTACGGCCCACGTCTCATGCGCTTCCAGGAGATGAGCAACTTCTCCGTGCATGGTCTCGCACTAGTCGACTCGCCTGCGTACTACCTCACCCTAGACACGGTCAGCAATGGCGAAATCTACAACATCATTATGCGCGGGCCTACTGTTCTTGGGGGTACTGATGCGATTGACGTCTGGGGAGAAAACGTATGGATTCACGACGTCGAGGCAACCAACGGCGATGAGTGCGTGACGGTCAAGAACCCTTCATCCAACATCTTGATTGAGAGCGTTTACTGCAACCTCAGCGGTGGAATGGCGATTGGCTCCCTCTCCACGGGGACTGATATCCATGACATCTACTACCGACACATCTATGCGAACGATGCGGACCCATGCTTCATCAAGTACAATGGGGGCAATGGCACGGTCAGAAACATCGTCTGGGACACGGTCACAGTCCGTGGCGGCGCTTATCCGCTGTCGATCGATTCCAGTTGGGGATCAGCACACGACGGAGATGGAGTGGAGATTACCAATCTCACCTTCAAGGTAAAGTGAACTTTCTAGGGATCGCGAGCCCAAACGCTAATTCTTCACAGAACTGGCATGGATACAATTCGGACAATGCACGTCCGGCCATTCGATTGCAGTGCGGATCCGAGGTACCATGCACCGATATCAGTCTTGAAAATGTGAACATGTTCAGCGAGGATGACTACGTCGTCTACGCTTGCGAGAATGCCTATGGAAAGGGTGCATGCTTGGAAACGGCCTCGACCGCTGCCGCGACCGGTTATACCGCACATCAGACGATGACATCTATTGGGTAAGCTTTCTCTCTGCAACAAGTTAAGTTAACACACTAACCCCTTTTCACCAGGGTGTATACCACTACCTGGATGGTCGATGATATTACCACGGCGATGCTGGCAAATACGTCCTATACCATCCCTCCTGTGCCAACAAGCTTCTATCCGGGCCAGTCTCCATACTCCGCTCTTCTGCACCTGAGCGGACCTGGTGGTCTGGGTGCAGCAAGCTCTTCAGTATACGCATCCAGTACAGCTGTGGCAGGATCGTCAGCAGCTTCATCTATTACAGCTGTGGCAGGGTCGTCAGCACTTCCATCCAGCACAGGTGTGGCTGCCAGCCAGCAAAGCTCAAGCTCGGCTGCCCCTAGCCAGACTGCTGGCGTTCGTGGTCAAGAAGGACAGACTTCTTGCTTATCGAATTACAAGGACCCTGAACATGGTTCAAAGCCCCATGACCACAAGGCGTTCCATCTGCATAAGGGGGATCACCAACATAAAGGGGGTCATCACTAGAGCCCTCACGTGTAGGTGCACGCGGGCAGTGAAAAGTTTGCTACTTTTTGATGTATAATATCTACCTTGGAGTATGTCCTCGCTTGCTTGTTGGACAAGAATAATAATAGTGTCTAATTTTCATCATGCGGTATTGGCTCAGAGTCGACGCTAATTCTATAAAGTACTGGGTAGTACACATATGCAGTAATACGCTCATGGTCGAATCGAAGTCACCAATATCAGGAACTTGTGCGAGGAACGTATATAACTCCTTCTGCACTCGTCTCTTGAAATACCCGGCGTGTTTCCTGGGCGGCCGATTCGATTCGCCGGGTTTACATTCAATTATCTGAGACGTTTGCGATGATTAGTTATTGCCGTTTTCTTCGAAGGAGGCTGGCCGGGTACAAGAACGTTGCTATCTAACGCACTGCCACGCTTCGTATGTCTTTTGTCTTTGCCCTCACCAAAAATAATGTGGTACAAGCTGCCTCTGAAGGCATATATACAAATTAGCCTCCATCCTTCCTTCCTATCAGTTGACATCCCACAGCTCATTTCTGTCCTACACTAATCTAAGATCTGAGTCTGCGAAAGCAAGGTGTGTTCTACCCTGTGCAAGGTACCCAGCACCCATGTTTGAGCCCTTACATAGTGTTGCTAGATGTGTGAATGGCATGAGATCTTATTCCACCACGGCTGTCTTAACACTCTTGATCTTATCGAAAAGTATACGCCGGATGCAACTTGCACTCGAAATACTACAAATCCTCAGCGAAGGATACATATGTAAGCAAGGGGCAATCAAATCAGGTGACTCAATACAAGGTACTCTGTATATTTAAGTGTAACTCTCCCAAGATCAATCCTTTGTAACCATCAATGCACTTCTCGTCTCTTTCCAAAGAACTCTTTCATCATGGACGAAGTCAACCAACAACGTGTTCGGAGCTATTCAGAGCCTGAGAACAATCCGGATCGTTGTTGACATACCTATCGAATTCTTAGCAACTACCTGGCTTCAGCCTTCGATCTTAGTAAGCCTTTCACGACAAGCTGGAAAGAACATTACGCGGTCCGGGAAATTGTTGTTGACATTTATCCACGGCATGCATACATTGTCATCGACATCAACAATCACCATTATGACTTCGAGGTCGCTCATTTGCAGGACTTCGCTATTCCGGTTCACATTCTTCGCTTGTCAAGGCAAAGCAAGACTTGGTCCTTCTTCAGACAAGAATTGGAGGATCAACGAGTCGCGAAGGACATTGCAGAGCTACACAGGTGCAATGGCCAGAAGCAGCCCCCTTTCTTTGCGGATCATATTAGAGGGTCTGTGTACCTCTCTCCCCGTACAACCTGAAGGCACAATGAGCCAGATGTGATTTGTGATGCATGCAGCGTCGCGTGTTTGAGGAAGATGATCGCTTGCCTTGTTTTGTTGTTTTTCGATCATGCACCTCCGCTAATATGATGTTCAATTTCCTGTCTCAAAGCATGTACAAGGGCCTGAGTGACCTGGAAGCGCTGGATCTGCTGGGCTAGATCATTCGGACTGTAAAAGAGCGTCTGGACTCTGGCCAGAACTATCTCCGCGCAATTTAGGAGCCCCCCCCCCAAAATATGCTCAGTCAAGCTCTGGAGATCCCTCGAGAAACCAATCATCCCAAACGTCTGTCACTCGGCATACTGGCAACAGCTTGATCTTACGTTCACCGGGCGATGATTACCTCTCCCCATGCACAATCAGCCATATACGAGAGTCTGCATCAGCATGCCACTCGCCGAATCCACCCTTTGAGCGTGCCGTTGTTCTCTGCCTTGACCTGAGACCTCCAGGACCAGCCCTCTCCGGATCTGGTCACATCCCCTTGGCCACCAGAATCCACTCGTCAGCAGAGTACCATTTTCTACCGTTCAACATGGCTGTCAACCCAATTCACCCTATGCCAGGTCTCTAAGAGCCAGGCTACCGCGGCATCGACCGAGTTCCGTAGCTCGACGTGGACGCGGGAACCCACTGGAGCATCACCTACTTTGGGTGCAACTGCTCCACCATCTTGGAGCTGATCGTGCACTATATTTCATTGCATCCAGAGTTCCAAGGGGCGCGCGTTTCAGCCCTTCGTGGCAAGAACAAAGGCTTGGTTCCAGAACACGAGCTGGGCATTCATGCAGCGGTGGTTCTTTACTACGTGGCACGGAGCGCTTAACCTGCTCTATCTTCGAATCCAACTGCTTTGATATAGCGAAGGAGGTAATCATCACAGGATGGAGCTTATCTCCCAGCAGGCAGAACATCACTCGGCCGATGATCGGCCCTCGCCGCCATCCTCGGGTCAATGTGCTTATCCCGGGATGTCTTTACTACTATTCTTTTTCCTGTACACATACTAAGATCAACAAGTTGCATAGCTTTATTTCCTCGCTGCGTTGGTGCAGGAGCCGCCTCCATTCATTCGTAGTCCAGATGTCTGCTCTACACCACAAATACCACTTTCTGCGATGCTTGGGGGATCCCTTTCGAATCCAAGCCTGGTCAGTGCGTAAAAGCCATACACAAGTACTATATATCTAGAAGACCCTACTAGGACCGACATGCCGTGATCATCCCGACTCCCTGCAAGCACTCGAGTAATATAGCCGAAGTGAATTCCACATGCTATGCCATCGATGAGGTCATATCCTCCTGCTCTTACATAAGCAAAGCAGTTAGGCGGTGAAAGACCAGCTATTCTGCCCGAGCAATCTCCCCGATCCAACAGCTTCAACGGCGCAACACAACACCGCGATAACAGCTTTCGACACGGCATACCATCGCTGGGCTACTCGGCCTGAATACCCGGATACAAGTTTTTCTGTAATTCATCTCCTGTACCTCTTCCTCTCGTCACAGTCGACCATGGCAACCCCAGCATCAAGCGGACTCAAGTTCATGAGCAATGCGCTCGCGACCCCCGAACAATTGTCCAACTCGTCCTCCTCCATCGACGGGGTCGCCCCCGACCTCGAGGCCTCAATCCGCTTCGCCGGGGCCCTCCTCACGCAAGCAGCGGGGGTGTACCTCCGGCTATCGCAGGACATCATCGCCCAGGCCATTGTCACATTCACGCGGTTCTGGATCGGATCCGAAGGAGGGAGTCTCCGGATATACAACGTGAAGGTTGGCCTTAGCCTGTCATTTTACTCCGCTGGAGCTTTAGCCTCATTACCGGCTGGGCCCTACAAAATATAACAAGTCGAGTGGGACGCAAACTAACGGAGTGAATCATCTACGCAGGACGTCTCCGCCGCCGCCCTCTACCTCACAGCCAAACTCAGCTTCCAGCCGACCTCCCCGCGCTCGATCCTCAACGTCTACGGCTTCCTCGTGTCCAAAGAAGCGTCCCCGCTGTGGTGCACGAACCCGAGCCCCATCACCGAAAAACCACCGAACCCGGAGACCTACGTGCTCACGGAGGGACAATACCAGGCGCAGCGGCTGGGGCTGATGCGCATGGAGGCGCTCATCCTGCGGACGCTGGGGTTCAACACGCACGTCGCGCTGCCGCACACGGTCTCTCTGACGTATCTGCAGACGCTCGGCGTGACGGCGCCGGCGGTGGCCCGGCGGGTGTTCGCGCACCTGAACGCGGCGCTCATGTCGCCGCAGCTGCTGTACGTGACACACCAGCCCAATGCGCTGGCGGTGGCGGCGATCTACCTGGCGGCGCGGGAGGAAGGCGTCAAGCTGGTGAATAGTGAGTGGTGGGAGGTGTTTGATGTGGACCGCGAGGAGCTGGGGTTCCTGGTGGTGGCGATGCGGAGTATGGAGGGGTTTGCGACGGCGGAGTTGGAGAAGTGGAAGGGGAGGGCGGTGCCGATGACGGTCGAGGAGGTCGAGGCGGAGATCGAGCGGAGGCGGGCGGAGGGGGAGTGAATTGAGGGGGCGAGCAGCGTGGTTTGAAGCTAGCAGTTTCTTCGAAGACTGAGAAAGATACAGCTTGCTACTGGCTGACTTGGGGACTCGAGCCGATTGCTGGAGATCGGCGGATAGCGGTCCAGCGTCCAAGCTCCAGGTCCGGGTCCGGGTTGCAAAGAACAAGAGTCCCCCGAGGGTCCTCACCTGGCCGGCTGGCGGCTGGGGAGAAGCCCTGCTATCCGGCTGGGACCTATTCGTGTCGCCGTAGCGGCGCTGCGAACCCGGGAGGTGGCGCTCTTGGGTCGGGGACGCACCAGCCTGAGAGGCAATCGGACCTAGGACAGTATTGTGTGAGTAGTGTATGACCAGAGCAAGTGAAATGAGGTATTCTTAGGCACCCAAATGATGAAATCTCGCACTCAAGTAAAGACTCACGTGCATAGTGTAGTCATCAGCCACATGATAAGTAACGATAAGCCCCGCGTGCCGCAGGGCCGAGTCAGCAGCGGGCGGGATCAACGTCACCCCCTCATTTCCCCCTACTTCCCTTTCACCGCCAACCTTTCTATCTACAACAACCACAACTTCAACCACAGCTACAACTACCACCTAACTAAACTACTCTTACAGCAGTCTGAACAAACACAGCACCAAGCACGCCTCAACAAACCCAAACCCACACCCACACCCACACCCAAACCCCACAACCTAACACCAACGCAACCCAACCTCTAGATCCCACCCAGCAACCCCCTCCATCCAGTTCATCACCGACCTCACTTCAACAAACACCAACCCCCCTTCTCGCCCCACCACTCTTCTCACCCAAACCTTCCAAAAATGAACATCCTCCACTCAACCCTAAGCACCTGGCGCGACCGCCTAGCCCCAATCTCCCGCACCTCCACCTTCCGGACGACGGGCCAAATCACCCCCGAGGAGTTCGTGCTCGCCGGCGACTACCTGGTCTACAAGTTCCCGTCGTGGGCGTGGGCGGACGCCTCGTCGCCCGGCAAACGCGTCTCCTACCTACCGGCCGGCAAACAGTTCCTGGTGACGCGGGGCGTGCCGTGCCACCGGCGGTTGAACGATGATTTCGCGGGGGATGCGGGGCGGGAGGAGGAGATTGTTCGGGATATGCTGTTTGGGGACGGGGAGGATGCCGCAGGTGATGATGAGGAAGGGTGGTTGAGGACTGGTGGTGGTGGTGCTTCCTCCTCATCACCAGCTCAGGGCGGTACCGCTGCCGGAGGAAGGATAGGGGATATCCGCACCGTCGACGAAGCGGGGAACGTCGCGGACCATGCCGATCAAGAGGAAGAGGAGGAAGACGAAGATGATATCCCCGACATGGAGGATGAGGATGACGATGAGGAGGCGATTATCCGGGAGCCCGTGGGGAAGAGCTCGGGGCTTTCGACGTAGGTTCCTCCCCATCCTATAACAAACCCCCAATTTGGAGAACTCAGTGGCTAATGACGACCCAAAAGACCAACAAGAACCTACAACCTCTACATCACCTACAGCAACTTCTACCGCACCCCGCGCCTCTACCTATCGGGCTACCTCTCGCCCTCGGAACCCCTCCCGCCCCCGCTCATGATGGAGGACATCGTCGGCGACTACAAGGACAAGACCGTCACGCTCGAAGATTTCCCCTGGTTTGACGGCAACGTCAAAATGGCCACCGTGCACCCCTGCCGCCACGCCTCGGTCATGAAGACCCTCCTCGACCGCGCGGACGCCGCGCTGAAGATCCGGCGCGAGAAGCTGCGCGCTGCCGCCCAGAAACAACAGCATGACGCCAGGGTGGAAGGGCTCGTTGATCCCGTGCGCGGGCTTTCGGTCCACGATTCCTCCCCAAAGGCGGAGAAACACGGCGATGAGTGGGAGGTGCTGCAGCATGATCATCACGACGACGAAGACGACGAAGAAGAACAATTTGCGATCCGGGTGGATCAGTATCTGGTGGTGTTTTTGAAGTTCATTGCCAGTGTGACGCCGGGGATTGAGCATGATTTCACGATGGGGGTTTGAGTTTCGTTTGTGGTTTTTGTTTTTTCTTGGGTGTGTGTGTGTGTGTTGAGTTTACCTAGGTAGGTGTAGTCGGCAAAGGAGTTGGGTTGCGGTTTAGGCGTTTGTTTTTTCATTTCATGGTTACTTCGAGGCATGACTTCACTTTATTCATCTACTAACTAACTAAACTACCATTTGCGTCTTCTCTTATCTTTTCTCTTGTTGAATCCTCCGGTCGCTAATGCTTGTCATCTGCACTTTCTCGAAGGGATTGTTTGTTTGTTTGCCCTCGGCGAGATGTGACGGTCGTTCGTTGGCTCCCCTTCTCAAGCAATAAGAAATATGTTACAGCCCGCCACCGGTTCAGCTTCCCCTCCCCTCTTTCTTCCAGCTTCACTTTTGTCACAAACTGCAAAACTTCTACTAGCGAGCGAAACGAGGCATGAAGATTGCGGCTGAGATCTGAAATCTGAAATCTGAATTGAAATCTCCCAATCTGGAATCCATAGTGATAATAGATAATTCCGTTTCTAAATTCCAAATAGACTATCATTTTCAACAACGAAAAACCACAACAATGGATAAGTAAGAGGTCATCATGATTAGAAAGGCCATATAAGAAAACCAAAAGAAAAAACATTGTCAACCATTCAATCCCGACAAAAAAAATTACACATCATGTTAGGAGTTGGACAGATGGATACGACAGTAAATACTTCGGTTTTGCTCCGTTGTGAAGCAAACAACACATGATCAGCCAGAAATTTGTATAGAGAAGGGAAGTTTGAAGCAAATGAAAAGGGAAAATGATCGCTGATTGATGAGAGGGGGAAAGGACGTGCTTGAAGCGCTGCGTGTAGTTGCCACTATTCCACTGGATTCATCTTCCAAAGGGATCTAGGCAGGACATTGACAAGTGTAGGCGGGGAGTGGCGGGGACACAGGCGCAGGGGCAGGCTTGTTCTCGTTCTCAGGGACTGTCTTGGGCTCTGTGGCGGGGGTTGATGCGGGGCTGCTGGGTGCGGCGGCGGGAGCGTCGGGGCCGGGCTGGGGTTGGGCCTCTGGGGCAGACTCAGGCTTGGCTTTGGGAGCGGGAGCAGACGCCGGGGTAGACGCGGGCTTTTCGGTCTCAGGGCCGGGTGCTGGGCCGGATTCAGCAGGAGACTCGGGGCTGGACTCAGGAGCAGACTCAGGAGCAGACTCAGGAGCAGACTCAGGAGCAGACTCAGGAGCAGACTCAGGAGCAGACTCAGGAGCAGACTCAGGAGCAGGGCTAGGAGCGGACTCAGGAGCGGGGCTAGGAGCGGACTCAGGAGCAGGGCTAGGACCAGCTCCCTCCTCAGACTCGGGAGAAGGGCACTCCTCAGCAGGTTCCTCGGCACCAGGGCCCTCAGCTTCGGGAGCAGGGGCAGGGCTAGCAGGCTTCTCAACAGGAGAGGCATCAACCGGGGCGGCAGGGGCCGGAGCAGGGGCAGGAGCAGGGACCGGAGCGACAGGCTCAGAAGGACCCGCAGAAGGCTTTTCCTGGGGAGGAGCAGGGGCAGTGGTCGGGGTTTGAGGGGACGAAGGGGCAGGGGCGGGTGCACTTCCGGGCCCTTCATGGGTAGGAGGAGCAACAGCAGAAGGGTTGGGATTGGGTGCATCCGAGGTCTGAGGAGCAGGAGCGGGAGGGGCCGACTCATTGTGCGGTGGTGAAGGAGGTGGTGATGCCGGCTCAGTGGTCTCCGGATGCTGAGGCCTGGGCTCGGGCTTAGGCTCGGGCTCAGGCTTGGGCTCAGGCTTAGGCTCAGGCTTAGGCTCAGGCTTAGGTGCCTCCGAGCTCTCATGGCTCACATGGTAGAAGTTACCCATGTTGACATTGGGTCCATCAGGAATCCCGATATTCAAAGACTGGCCTGCATCGGTGCTGTCCGATTGATGCGAGCCACCGTTCTTGCCATCACCGTTCTTGCCGCTGCCTTCGTGGTAGTGAGAGGAGGCGGCGTTGCCTCCAGTGTAGCTGGGACCGTCGGGGATTCCGATATTCCAGGCCTGGCCTGCAGCGGTGCTGCTGTCCGTTTCATGCGATCCGCTGTCCTTACCGCTGCCTTCGTGATAGCGAGAGGCGGCGGCGCTCGCCGTGTTGTAGTAGGGTCCATCGGGGATGGAGATATCGCTGCCGCTACCCGCAAAGCTCTCTGAGTCGAATTGCCTTTTGGCCAGGGTTGTGCTCTGTGATATGTTAGAATTGTCCCGGACGTTGAGCCCATCAGGCCGACTTACCTTGGAGGCAACAGGTGCCGACAGAGCGGAAGGAGTGACGAGAGCAAGGCACAAGAGTGCCGAAAGGCTCTTGGAGTTGTACATGGTAGTGAAGATCTGTAAAAAAAGAGTTGAGAAAGAATGTGATTGCAGGTTAAAAGAAAGTCAGCAAAGTGTCAGTGAGTGAGTGTATGGGAGAGAAAGAATGGATGCTGTGATGAAGACAGCCGATGATGAGTCTGAAGAAAGATCAGCCCAACCAGAATCTATCGGGTCTTTATATCCTGAAGCTGGGCCTTGGAAGGGAGTTACCCTGGGATAGCCCTTTCTAGGAGGTTGTTGTACCTTGTAGCCATTGCCAGGCAACCCATGGGTCCAAGCAAGGCCCACGAGACAGTGGCGTCAATTGATCCAAGATCTCGATCCAAATAGCTCTCATCTTATCAGCAGCAGCAGCCACACTCCGTCCGGATCGCCCTAGAACAATTTCAGTCGCAGTCCTTTCTTCACCAAAGGGGCTAAGGAGATAGGGTGGGGATACAGCTTGCTCCGGCCGGGGTCGATGCAAGGAGCCGCAGAGTCATCGCTGCTGCTCGGCCAACAAATTAATCAAACAACAAAAAAGTACTCCGTAGTGAGGCACCGATAGAATAAAATGAATTTAGTAGTTACACATGGTTGCCGATGCATATGCAAAAAGAAAAGGTTCAGCATCGTTCAAGAGTCATCAGTCATGGTATCCAATTAAGAAGCCAAATTCACCCGTATGACACCACAGAGGGCGAATGGCTCCAAGCATATACTGGGACAAATTCATGCACCAGCAAGATAGCCTTATACTTTTCCGCAGTCCGAATTTCCAAAAGCCGTGCCAAAATTGGTGGTCTTCTTGAACCGCAATTCGGGTTCCTCGGTCTCACCCTGGCTGCGAGGCTCAGCCTCATCTTCATCATCTTCCCTCTCCTCCTGAGAGCTCCTGCGGTGGTGGCCAAGGACCTGCTTGACCTGGTCCAGAAGCCTCTGATCAAGCTCCTTCAGAAAGCTACTGTCGTGTTCCTCCTCGTTCAACAAGGAGAGCGGCCCCTTCAGAGCTGGGTCTTCCGGCAAGTCTGCAAAGTACGAATCGGACTGTTCTGCAGGTTGCCGAAGCACTGCCGGAGCAAGGGGGCTGGCCTCATCTTGGACCTCCTGAGGCGACGGTTGCTCCGTGTCAATATCGCGATCGATCTTGACCATGGGAGTATGGCCGGCGTTCCTGGTCAGGTTGAATTCCGGGGGACCCAGCTCGGATAATCGCAGCTTCAAACTGTTGCGATGCTCATTCGGGGGGCGGGTTGAGGAGGTCGGGGAGGTTTCGAGTGGCGACGGTGATGGTGGTGTGATCACGCGGGCGACCACTTCAGGGGGCAGGGCAGATGACTTGAGGGTAATCCCGTCTAGCTTGCTGTCCAGCTTCTCAATCGGTACAGGGACACTGGCGCCGGTAGAGGGGTCTACTGCATGCGATTTGGGAGAAAGAGCTGCGTCCAAAGATGGCGCAGAGACATATTTGGCTCCTTGCTCCGGGATCGACGATAGAGTGTGGATGTCCGTCGTCTCCGCGTCAGGAAATACCCTGGTGGGCCGGCTCCCAGGGCTAGATCCCTCCCACACCTGCGCACTTGCGTGAAATTGGTCGGCAAAACTTACTGAGTGGGAGCGACCGTACGGGGCATTGATCGCGGAGAAGGAATTCGACGCAAAAGCGCCGGGCGGCACGGTCGCCGATGCGGTGGATCCTCGCCCTTTTAGCAGGGCCTCTAGTTCCGATATCCTCGACTTCAACAACGCCCGCTCTTTTTCCCACAGTTGTCGTTCCTCATTGAACAACTTCTTTTCATTTTCGAAACTGATTCGTTGACGGTCTAGTAGTGATCGCGCTTGGTCGAGATAACTGGCGCTCAGGCTCGAGTAGGTGACGCCAGCGGCACCATGGGTGTTCAAGCCAGGGTGCGCATTTGGCACCGATTGCGTGCGACGGACGGGGGTAGGAGTAGGAGAGAAGCGCACTTCCTTGTAAACGCTCCCATGGCCATTGGGGGACTTGATTGCAGTTGCTGACTTCATTGTGTTGGTTGCGGGTAACTCAAAAAGATCGGGTTCCTGAGACACTCCAAAGGGAGGAAGGGGAGTACTTTGCTAGGTTCGTCGAGGGTTGATCGCGCCCTCATAAAGGGATGGGTGGAGGGGCGAGAGGAGGGGCAAAGTAGGGCGAACTAGAAACGAGGCAACAATTGGAATGAAGCGGACAATAAGGCCGTCAGTCAATCAGTAAATCAGTGCCTTAACTAGCTCGTATGGTAGAAAAGAAAAGAGTCCGTTGGCTGCACGAGGCGACAGCCAAACAGCTTGTGATAAATTGATAATGCACGGATGCAGCGACACCGCTTCGCGATGACAAGTAAGAGCCAGGGAACCACGACAACGGATCACTTTGGCAAAGTGGCGAATAAGAGCAATTCGGTGAGTGGGGGAGAGGGGGGGAGGGTGGGGGGTCAAAGCTAGTTGTCTGCAGCGGTCAATGGGATTCGGATTGAACCCCTGATTGATAATGTTTGGACGGTGCCTGAAACAAAACGCGAAGCTGCGAGGCAAACTGTAGAGTTAGGTGGGCGAGGAGGAAGAGGAGGTGTTTCGAGTGGACGAAAACGGCGGTGGTAGATAGAGGCGACCACACGAGGACGGCCAAGTGGACGTTGCGCTTGTCTCCAGTTATGCGATGGGGAAAAGTGGGGATGGATGGGTGATCAGAGCCTAAAAGTATTGAGGTTGAATGAGCGACATTGTCAGACTGAAAACCGACCAAATGACAAGGACGAAGGGGGAGGGAGAGAAAGTGAGAGCGCAGGAGAGGAGGGGTGAGGGGGGAGAGAAGAGAAAAATAAGGAAAGATGAGAGAGCGTGATGAGGAGAGGAGGAGGATGCGACCAAGAAGATCTTCCACCACCACCACCACCACCACCACCACCACGACTAAGCACTAAATGCGGGGGAAGAAACAACAAGAGTCAGGAAAAGCAAGAGCAGTCGGAATCGGTGGTTACTCTGCTTGTAGTGCATACACACTGTACAGTACAACAACACGTACCAGATTTGACCGGGGAGAAAACTGACCAGGAACAGGCAGTGGATGTCTTGTCTACATCCACCGAAAACAAGAGCAACGAGAACAAGAAGAAGAGCCGGAAACAATCACTTATTAAGGTAAGAAGGGTGATTCTCAAAATGACATACACATACACATACAATCCAGACAATAGAAGAAAACGACAACAGAAGACACAATGGGTCGATCACGAGGGGTCAATGACGTTATCCTCTGCTTTTTTTCCTTTCCCCCTCCAGGATTCACCGCAGTCATTCTCGACTGGGAAAGAGAAAAAAGATTAATGAAGACAGAAAAAAATAGTCTAGCTCATTCCTGACTCAAGGCCAAATGATTTCATGGTTTCATGATCCATTCATGTGGATTATCCTTCATCATCTGGCATGTCCACCCGATAACGTAGTACTCGATGCTACTCAGTATGTGTATGTGATCGTAGTGAGTTATAGTTAGATCGAACCCGCGCGGGGCGGCACAAAACAAATTGGGATTGCTCGCGGAATGGATAGTCACGGTTATTTGCACCTCGACTGGTGCACAGAATGATGATCTTGAAATTGTTAAGGAACAAAAAAGCAAAATCTATACAATATACATATACAAATATGTGCAGAGATCGCGCCCCAAAAATGCCCCCAGAACTCCTTCAATGTCCATCCTTATGCTAATCCGAACTCCCTCCAGTGGGCGCAACCAGCCAAAAACCATCGCAACAGAACTCCCGCCGCTGGCGACCGCGCGGACACTCATAATACTGTTTTATATTATGAGTGGAGAATCACCAAGACTCAAGGAGTTTACCCTTTGGTTAAGGTAGAGTAAATCCCTCGGTTTCAGTCGGTCCTCCACGTCATCCTGCAGATGATGGACCCCACAGGTAACCTGGAGTATAGAACACTGCCAATCGGATACACACCCAGCGGGAAAAGAGAAAAAAAAGAAAAAGAACTCCAAGCTCATGTCCACCGAGGATAAGAAAAAGCAAAAAGATATGCAAAAGGCTGAGATGAGGTGGAAATGATTTGGCTTTCCTCCTTCGAAGACACGACGACGAACAGGCCACTGAGGATGACAAGGCCAGCATCCATCGACCTAAAAGACGAGCTTCTGAGGCGACGCCCGCGTCCGATCCTGCAGCAGCTTCTTTGCATCGTCCATGACATATCGGTGCATGGACGGCAAGGGGAAGAAATGGAGATCCTTGCCCAGGGCGCCGAACATCGTGGCTAGCGACCAGATGCCTCGCGCCGACGACTGCAGACCCCCCACCGAGGCGGACGGGTAATAGAACCGCGGATCCAGATAGAACAGGGTGCTCTCCCAGTGCGGCAGCTTGTCGCGCAGCATGCGCGCCGCTCGCTCGTACTCCTTCAGGGTGCGCTTGGGCACCCCGGTCTGGGAATGGACGAAGAAGAAGATCTCGAAGCCGACGCTGCGGATGCGGTCCCGCGCCGTGGCACTGAGGGTGTCCAGGAAGGCGGCCATGCGGTCGAGGTTGAAGGAGTTGAGGAAGAAGAGGGTGTTGTGCGAGTACACATAGTCCTCGACCTCGTCGTGGATCTGCCGGTTCACGGACAGGAGATTCCGCACTCGACCGTTCTCGCCCACCCAGCTGGGACACATGGAGAGGGCCCGATACCGTCCGCGCGCGGTGAACACATTGCCGCGGTCGTTGATCACAATCATCGGCCGGTCCATGTAGTCGTTCGGGACGTCCAGCGCATATTCATAGATCATGAGACGAAGCTCGAGGGGCAGTTTGAGAAGATGCGACGACATGCTTGCCGACTTCTTCTGCGACGCAGTAGTCACCGGCGGTCGGTCAATATGCTGCGGTACCCCCATTGTGTAGATTCTGTCAATTTGACAACAACGATAGTGATGAAGATATGACGATAATCAGATAGTAGTAGTTAGATATCGTCGTGGGGCTTAGTCGGTCAATCCTTGTGTGAAGAATGAACTAGTTTAAATTAGTAGATCAGACCGGCTCATGGTACTGCCCCAGCCACCGGATTGCTTTATATATATCTTGTACGGTATATCCGATCTATGTTAGTAGCATTGGCTATAAAGGACCAGATTCGAGACGATCCACGTCAGGCAAGGCGTCGTCGAGGCCAGCAGACAGATACCGGATCACCACTGGATAAATTGAGGAATCGATCAGATCATGCCAAGTGCCGTCTGATAACGCAAATGGATGTATAAGGAGGCAATCCCGGGTCAGCAGCAGAAAACGAGAGCTAGAAACGGGGCCAAAAAGCAAAGACGGATGATTATCAGACCACCCCCCTCTTTCTTGGGCTTTGGGCTTTGGGCTTTGGCTTTCTAAGACATCACCTCACACCGGCATCTTTCGAATAAATTGCAGAAAGACGGCAAAAGGGGGGTAAAGTAGAGCAAAGAAAAAAATATGACGAGACTCGGACCGGACCAAGACCGATCGATTTTTTTTTTTTTTCATTCTTCTTTTCTTTACATAGAATTTTTTTTTTCTTCGGCCCAGAAGTTTATTGAAAAAGTTTATCGACAGGGCGAGGCTCTCGGGATTACCCGTGCCAGCCGATGAGAAAGAGAGAGAGACAAAGACTATGAAGGAATGAATGGAACCAGGCTATTGCCACTATTGTGCCAGTTACTGCTTAGAGTAGTCTCAACGGCGTGGCACCTCAGAGAAGCCTACTCAGTACTCCGTACATAACATAGTCTACACCCGCAGTCTCTCAATCATGCTCGACCCGCCGGTGATGCAATATCCAATACGTTCTTCCCCGCAGTTCAATCCAGCTTGCCGGTCCTGAATTTGCCACCGATGACGGATGAGGAACACGCCGCGCTCTACACGCCCATGCACCTGCCTTGAAAAAGACAGTGTTTTTGAAGATAATCAATTACCAGTTCTAGGACACGATCAAATTAATCAAAGCTTTATTACGGCGCCATGCCGTGTCCTTGACCCAAAATAGGCCAAACGCATACATCGGCTAAAGTATCATTTGCGCTGGTAGATGCCGAGTAACCACGCGGCCCGCAAAACGGCCAATCCCCAGGCCATCCCGACACTATCGCGCACCACATTCAATTTACTGCCCATGACTTCGCGCCAGCCCACCGGCACTTCAGCCACCGGAATGCCAGCAAACTCGGCCAGCATGAGCATTTCCACATCGAAGATCCATCCTTCGGAATGCATGTACGGGATGATATATGGCAAAGATGCCCGAGTAAACAGTTTGAAGCCGCACTGGGTATCCTTGATAGTGGCGGTCTTGGATGGGGTCAACAGCCAGAGGATCAAGTGGAACGAATGCATGAGGAAATTGCGCAATTTGGACCGCTGTCATCACCGATCAGCAGCAGCTCTTCCGCGAGTCTCGTAAATGGAGTCGTGCATGGGCGACACGATGAAGCTTACCTTGACCACCGCCTCACTTCCAACCATATGGGCGCGAGATCCCACGGCCACACCACGGCCTAGGGAGTCCTCGACCCCTTGACAGGCAGCGACAAGCTTGCCCAGATCCTCAAACTTACTGGCTCCATCGGCATCGGCAAACACCACATACTGCCCGCGGACATGCCTCATACCGTGAGTCACCGCACCGCCCTTGCCTCGGTTCTCAGTTAGGGTCACCACCCGAATCGTGCCCGGCGGGATGTGGACACCCTCTTTCGTCCCCGGGGTCCAAGGACCCGAATAGCCCTTCGGGTGCAGCGAGAGCTGATGGTCCCGGGCAAACGTGAAGGCCGTCTCTTCCGTCTTATCCTTGGAACCGTCTGAGACGATGATGATCTCCCAGCCCTTGTTGTCGTGCACGGGGGGATATGTCGCACTGCCATTGGCATGTCCGTTCGCCAACTTGCGCTGACGGAAAGTCTTCTGCGCTGGATCGGCATCCACGCCATTCGGAATGGCGCCGGTCACCGTCCCATACATCCGTTCCAGATAATTCACAGCCTCTTCCAGCATGCCCCCGAGACGATCTTCTTCGTTGTACGCGGGCACGACGAGAGAAAGGAACAGCTCAGGTTCCTCCACGGAAGGGTTATCGAGAGTGCGACCGGGACGCCTCTTGGCGTCCAACGCATCTTGCCAACAAGGTAGTGCTTGAGGTTCCGTGATCGCTCCATCTTTCGTGAGCGTTCGATATTGTTTCTCTTCGGGGTAAGGCTTCCGTGGTACAGGTGCGACCGCGTAGAGGGTAGTGTAGACCTGTTTCATTGAGAAGAGCAGTCAGCCATGGCCCGAGACGACTGGCGAGCAAAGGGCAGTGTGCACCAAGGGATTGGATTTAGACCAGGTGTAAACATACTAGCACAAGGAAACCAGTCACTGTCGCGGCGAAGGTGACAAGTAATACGGAGACTGGAACATTGACCAGAAGCTCAACGCATTGGACGCAGATGTCGGACCACGCCTCTTGAGCCATGGTGCAATCCAGCAGCAAGTCGAGCGGGGGGAGGGGAGTCGAAGTGATGGATCGGGACAGTCGCCGCGGAAGCCTGAAGGTGCGAGCTCAAGTGCTCAAAGGGATAAGAACAGGGACAATCCGATCCTGGCCAGCCATGCGACACGGTAAATGCCTGGAGAAAGTGGATTGGTGAAGGGTGATGAGGATAGGAGACAACGATTAAGAGGGAGAGGGAAGCGATCCCAGAGTGAGGGAGATAGCCATCCTACTATTATTGATAGTTGAGGGGGAAGGAAGTGGAGGCAACGTGGTTGATCCGAGCAAGCAGGCAGGCGGGTTTAATTACGGAGCACTCACAGCGAGTAAGTACGGAGTATAATATCTAGTACTCATACAGTACGGAGTTCCACTAGTCAAGTTGAACTCCGCTCCTCCCGCCGAGCCGAGACAGACGGTTAACGCGCAACCACTCACTCACTAAACTTACTTGTCCTTTTTGCGCGGCTTCAGTCGTCACCCAAGTGGAGACTTTCCCCTGTTGTTTCTATCGGTCGCAAGATTCTCTCCTCCAAATATATGGCTAAGACCACGCGTACTGAGGCTATCTAGGCTCTGCTTCAGAATCGAAGACTGTCAGGTTCGGACTTCTGTCCAATTCGGGGCTCATTGCTCTTATCGATGCTATGGATAGATACAAGTGACTATTTGCTATATCAAGCCATGTATGTGGTTGACATTAAGTCAGAAGCCTGTGTAGATCTGTTTCTGTAACGACAATGGATCGTTAAGAAATGAAACACTCGACTTCCTGCATGGCGGTGAAGATCTCTCTCCAGACCATTAACTTTGTTCGAGAGTACGGTACTTTGGCGGCTCATGGGACCGCTATCCTCAACCTCTGTTGGCATCAGAAAACTTTATAAGCCATGTTATGGGATGAGAGGTGCATGAGTCCCATTCCCAGACTGTGTATAATGTTTCAGAATGCTAGCTCGAAAGCTATCCTGTTCAATTCGTCCGCTGTGACTGGGACGATATAATAGGGGAAAAGTCCCATCCTGTGACCTTCCGTGTATGTGTTCTGTTCAGGGCATGGATACCTTCGCTCATTGCGCGGCTTGCCTGTGTTAGCTTTTTCGACTAGCAAATGGATCGTTTCTCTCGGCAATCGTTTCTAGATCCAGGGCAAATCGAGTTGTGGAGAATTTGTGAGAACCGGCATCGTATGTTATCCAGCGGTTGAACTGTCTTCTATCAGTATATCACTGTCAACCCGGGTGCGTTGCGAGCATACCGTGGAGAGCCTCACACCTAACCATATACACCTATACATCCTCGTGATGCAACGAGACGGCAGTTCGTCATTCCTCATGTCGTCTACAGAAGGCGCACCATCGAAAAACGATGGAGGGTATAAGCGTTCGCTCCAGCAGTGTCCTCTAATAAGGTAGTCCTCGGCGACCCATGTCGTTTCCTCGGAGACTGGGAACTCTGGCTTTTCGGCGATACCCGGTTTGATATAGCTGCGAAATAAAGAATTCAGAAATCTTGAGATGTTCCTCCACGGTACGACGGCCTCCACATGCTTCATTCCCGCGGGAGTCAATGCAAGACACCATAGAAATGCAAGATAGACATGGCATGCTGCGTAGATATTTTGGTCCCCTATTCGATCAAGAAGCACTGACATGGTCCGATACGCCATATAAGAGCCATAAAATAGTGTCGGTGCCATGTTTGGCGACTCTTTATAGGCGAGTAAGTCTATCTGCACCGTGTCGAGATCATCAGGTGAAGTCCAGCGAAGAGCTGCCGCTGTAGAAGAGTCTTGGGGGTCTGCTGACGGTAACCCAGTCGATACATCAAACTCAGGTGGTAGAAGTGCATCTTCGTGCCCGTATCCCATTATCGCGGCGATATTACTGGATGATATGAAGAACCCTTGCAAGATGAATTTCTCATTGAGGTGAGTCACGTATTGATCCAGATGCGACAAGAAAATATTGACGGAATGGTAAAGTCTGTCGCCAAAGTCTCCGGTAAAAAGGAATGCGTGGGCAGCGATGAATGGGCCAACTGGTGGGATACGGCGCATTGCCATGAAATTTCTAAGAAATGGATTGAATATGTCGAGAATACTCGTCTTTGTGCCCAGAAAAGGCTGCTGGACAAGTAGAGATTTTGTGTAGTAGAAGAGTCTCTGTGCGACATCATGTCGAGCCATGACTCCAAGATGGTGCTGGAATTTTCCCATGCCTGGGTTCCGATCGGCTGCTCGATTGTACCAAGTCATTGCAATGCGAGCCCACAGCCTACGGTCCTCTGTGTCAGTGGTTTCCGCGGCCATTCGGTACCTCGAAAGATCCCCCAAGCACTCCAACCAGGTCTCTTCATAGGCAGGAAACTCTGATACCATAGAGGCCATCGTTTTATAGACGTCTTGTATAAAGCCAAGCATGTACTCGAGGGATTCAGGGAGTTGGTGACGCATCATTTCCAAGTAGTCATGAATCCCGTAGCGCCACAGGCGAGTTGGCATCATGTATGCATCAGGCAGGGTTTTCACACTGGGGCCTGCAGCCGGATCTGAACAGGCTCTGAAGAAATCATGCTGCTCACTCACTAGCGTCAAATGCACTTGGGTAAGTTTTTCAAGTTGAACTTGCGAGGCCACAGTGTCCATGGCGGAAAACTGCTCGTCATATCTAATGGCTACTTTCTCGCACATGTCAAGACCGGCATAAATCATGTGGATATCATTGATTATCATCTCTTCTGTTGGCAAGTCAACCTCTAGCTGGGGCAAGAACCCAGGTGATGCTGTACCTTCGGTTGTTGCAATGCCAACCTCTGGCAGCCTTGGCTCCTCGCTCAACTGTCTCGCGGATTCTCGACCATAGTTAGCATCCTCCGAGCCCACGCTTGATTGATGGGGCGAGGAGGCCCCTTGATCCGGGCTGGCGCTCCGAAATAGAGGTAGACCGTCATCGGACGGCGTCGGACTAAGTTGGAATTTTTCTGGCCGATGCTGCAAAGACATATCGTGATCATCGCCTAGCTCATGCTTCTCGTCATGGTTTCTTTGGTTTTCGATGGCTTCTAGATCTGATGGGCGAGTCGAGGAAATCTCTTGACCCCAGTCTTCCTCCCATTGCTGGTCAAGGCGATTCTCCGGCGCGGTCGACAGATTGAATTCCAGAGAATGCGCACTGGCGCTTCCTACATGCGAGAAAGAGGCACTGGCCGAGTGAATAACTGGGTTTGTAGTCGATGGATCAGCTGGAGAGATATCACCCGGAAGCGACGGTGGAGATGATCTTCTGTAGATGAGGTTAGAAGCTTACTCAAGGCTCAGAGCTCATACATTAAAGACACGGCAGCTAGGACAGATTTGAGAGGGTAAGGGTTTATTCACATTAGAGATTTGGCGGCGCCTTCGGCTGAGTCTTGACGCGGAGGTGACCGATGTTCGTGACCATCAGTTCCAACATTCATTGTATTGGCGGCGTAGATTAAACGTCATCTGATCAAAAATAAGTCCTCTGTCGGTCTCAAAAAAGGACTGGGAATGAAGACAGGAAACTGGGAAAGAGTGCTGAAAGAAATTGAGGCTCCGACGTCTTCTCAGGTCTCTAATCAACGCCCCATTCCCATAGTTCCTATCTTTCGCAGGCAGGGGAAATGCAAGATATAGATCCGAATTCAGAATTTCTGGAGAATACGCACGAGATAGATATAGTTAAAAGACCGCCAACCACGGAATAAGGTCAGGCAAGTGGTAGGCAATGGCAGTGTCGAGATAAAGCTTAATAGGAAAGGGGACGATTGGGAATAGCAGGAAACAGTGGGAAACACTATTTATAAGAACGAAGACATGAGAGTGGTTTAGGTTCTTTAGGCAACTAACCCCCTCTCTGCCTGGGGGGGGGGTGACAGAAACGCCTGTGCGAAGAAACCGAATCACCGAGGAAGGCGCGCACGAACACTGGCAGCTAGGACAAGCCGACAAGAGATTGCTGGGGAAGGGAAGTGTACAGTACACAGCACAGTGCACAGTATCAAAGAATGGATATGTCCCAAGAGGCGACAGAGGCTAAAGTAAGTAAGCAACTTTTGTGAAGTGGGGAGATGTGGTGGGTGACAATGGAAGGACCCCCTGTACTGTGTAGTTAAGATGGGTAAAAAAAAAAAATAGGTAAGGTAAGGTAAGGTCACGGGTAAGGTAAGTAAGTGCCGAGACGGAAGGCGAGGAAACCATTGGAAGAGTTCCACGATCAACGATCAGACAGACCAGACAGACAGAACAGAGCACGAGTCAAACCGAGGGGGGAAGGGAAAGGCGAGGCTAGTGGTAATTTATTGTGCTGAGAACCTTTGAATGGTAATGCCCTGGTATTTTTGACTGACGGGAAACAAACCACCAGCGTCGCCGTTGTCTGGCTGCCTGGTTGCCTTGTCTTCACTCGGAGTCTCCTCCTTCATACTAGGTACTTACCCATCAACCTTGAAGCTCCTTGCCAATCCGAGCCAATCTCGTCAGCATCCTTTCGATTAATGCGATCTCAATTGTGTCTGGCTGATCGTTTCTTCCTCGCCATCGGTCCATCGCGGAGTTCATAAAATGACCATGAAAAAAAAAAAAAAAAGGAAAAACCACAAACTGAAATAAAACAAAACAAAGTACACTGTCATATTTTGGTGGCGTCGAGGCTCACCATTCTTCAAGCTCTCTCTCGATTTGACGAACTTTTTAAGTTCCCGACGCATGCTTCCTTATGCCTCAATTAGGAAAGTTGTTAACGGTCGAGTCAGGTCGCCTTGTCAAGCATACTACGAGGTATCTTCAATCATATCCCGAGTCAAGAGTCAAATGCATTGATGCCCATGTCTCGAGTATCCGTGACTCCACTTGAAACTTTGTCCAACTGCTAAGGGCGTGATTTGAGACGTCTCTATCAGAACATCCCCCTACATGCGTATCAATACTGAGGAGCTCATGCAGGTGGGTTCTGCGACCTCCTTGATGCCGAACCCGACTGTTTGGGTTAGGCCACCCTCCCACACTCCCTTGCATGCAGCAGGCTGCCGACATCGTTCAATCAAGTTCTCATCGCTGCCACTTGACTGACAAGCTTAATTCCAGGAATGATGATGGCTCTGCCCTTGCGTCATAGGGTGCACTATGGCCTTTCTCGAACACCTTTCCACGCGAGATCGTTGATACTTCGCCACTGATCCACATTCCCTGGCCAGACTGCTTATCGCCATAGCATCCCCATCTATCGACGAACCGATGATTTGACGGCTAAATCATGGCCTCGATCGGCTTCCCGGCGATGGAATCATGAATCATCGTCGATTTCAAGGTCTCACGTATGCAAATCTCCGCCGGTGTTCTTGGGCCTCTGCAACGATCCTACTCACATCGCTGATGATGACCCGGCTTGTTCGCTTCCTTCAAGTTAGCAGGACTTTACACCCGGCGGAGCCGCAACAGCCGTCCTCTGGACCTTTTCCTGGGGAAAGAGGGGGTGGGGGGGTATTCTCTTCGTCCCTAATAATCGGGTTTACCCTTGCATGGACACCGCTTATTCGGTCTATTCATAGACATGGACAGCAATCTTTGCGAGGTAGTTGTGTTAGGTGCGCCCATACGTGCACAATTCTGGCATTCGATGAGATTCCAGGTCAAGCGGTACCAGCGAGACTGTATGGATGAAGGGTATCAGCATCCTCGAAGCTGTACGCCGTGCCACCATAAACATCGTCGGTTACACTACCATTGCCGGGGCAGGTATCGCGTGAGGATAGATTCGACCATGACCAGCGCGCCACGTTCAACAACTGAGGATTAAAGCTGCTGCCTCACGATTTCGGGGTCTGATCGCTCAGGTTGTTTTAATACGGCTGGCGGTGCCCTAGTGAGCACTTGCAGTCCGAGTCACCGACCACTCACGGAAAATAGTCGTATTCAATGGTGGAACATACTGGCTATGAATAGTTTCGGATAACTATCAGTCATTCGTAGGAGAGCCTGGAAACACAATTGTCATCTGCACTCAGTTTGGTCTGAGCGTATCAGCCCTTGTCTTTGGGCCTTTGGGTTATTTGTGGTCCCACTAGCTCGTATAGTGTAGGCGTCAGACACGAGAATCTCTTTTCGAATCCTAATGATGCCTGACTATAGTTAGGCATGCTATAACTTCAGCCTGCCAGTGCGCGATTATCAATTAGAGTTATCTGCCTGATTGGCATTGGGCCAGAGCCGGAAGCAAAGTGCGTTGACATCGAAAGGGGACAATACTTACAGTTGTAATGTACTCTGCACATTAATTTAGTTAAATCATTCTTAAAAGAGAACTAAAATCCGAGCCTCAGATTACTGTATTGAACATAAACATACACGAAACATGCATCTTCATAGTACAGGAGACTTTGTATACTGTGTGACAGTCTGCCAGTTTCTTCGTTCTCAATTTACGTAGCATGATTAGTTAGGTAACTAGCTCCTTCGATAGAAGTACGGTTGCTACAGTAGGTACTCCGTACAATGCTGTATATGTACATGTACATGCATCGTTCGTGCTTGCCGAGCGATCTGTTGTCGAAGGTGGACTCGGCTCCCATCACCCAAATCACCCAAACACAACAAACCTTCCCAGCGGGTATCATGAATCTCTTCCCGAGTCTCCATCTCCTCCTTCTGCTTAGGATCTATGCTAGTCCAGTGAACAGCTTTCTGAGATCATACTCATCTTTCTTTCGATATCGATATCCCACACAAATCTTCAATTTATATTTTCGCTCAGCGGCAGGTTTGATCTGCTTGCAGTATGTACTGTACTTGGTACTGGTTATAACTTACATTAGGTGACTACTGCCGTACGACCCACCGAACCAAGGCAAACAAATATACCGCTATATCCTCGCAATGCACTCACTGTCGACTTCTCCTTTACACCGAGACAGTTCTTGAGACTACCCTCTGAAGTATCACTAGTTTCGGGATACCCTCAGTGGTTTTCTAACCCATATTTGTCTGCATGGTATCACCGAGTAGTGTTCTCTCCAGGAGTGATCAACTCACCTAATGACCTATGGTGACAGCGCTACTTTGCTCCCACAGTAGCTATTCCCTCACTCCTTGAAAAGCCACCCAAGCAACGAGTCTGTTGGTTGCCTTAAACCAATGCGACTTATACCCGGCCATGTGCATTGCCGTTCCTTGGCGCATCTTTTCTTTGCATGAGCACGGAGTAGATTGTTCACTAACTTCAAAAACCCACCAACCATCATGAGTAAGAGAGCTTCACTCGGTCCTTGTTCCTAATGGAGCAGATGACAATTTGACCAGGAGGAAGGCGAACAACCCCTCTTCGCTGGAATTACAGCCGATGATACCCCTGACCCGACCCCTTAGTGTCAACCATGCAAGCCACGTCGATTGGCAACTCATCGTTCTAGACGAAAGTGCTCGAGCTTCGACGAACGAGAAAGAGCTTACCAATTAGCCTTGCTATAACTACTGTAGTACATCTCCCCGACTGCGGTACATGAATTTTCTTTCGCTCTTCCTTACATCTCTACTTGAGTCCTCGAAGCCCCCAACAACAACGATGCGGAACACGATAAATGCAAAGCAACCCTGCAGTGTCAATTTACCAACCCATTACAACTGCATTAGCACCAGCATCGATACTAAGACCGAGAGATTCCAAGCAATCTCATTCGTGGGATCTCATCCCTCTCCAAATCAGCCACAGCAGTTACTTCGTGCCAATCCAACACCGGCTATTGGTTCGAAAGTCCCCCGTGCATATGGCACGTCAGTTTGATCAACTAAAAAAGACTCTCGCCCAGGAGACCTTTTTCTCGCTACAAGCTTCAGTCTCTGGGTGGCACGGAAAAGGAATTTCTCTTATCGGTAATCTGGAACTCAATTCCGAGATATCGGTCAACTACACTCCAAGTCCCCTACGTGGCGTCTTCGAGTATCTTGTCTTTAGCATGGCTTCCCGCCACATGCTACGAGCTACATGCTACGTACTCGCCAATCCTGCCCCAATGGGCTGCCACCAGCTTCTAGACTCGATCAGCAGCGATGTCGCTTACTCAAATACATGCAACAAGCGATTGAGAACACATCAATCGAGGATAGGAATTCGAGAAACTACCGGTAGGATACAGGCGCGCAAGAGAGAATCATAGATCTTTCGCTAAACCGGGATCTACTGCCTGTGCCGCCTCGTCGGGACTGACTCGGAGATATTCGCAGCTTCCTTGTCGCGTGGCTAGAGCTCGAAACTTTCTCTCCCCCTCCTTCACAACATCGCATGTACTATCGATTATCTTGCAGAGGTCGGGATCAATGCCCGGGTAGTGGCAGTGGGCTGGTCTTGTTCCTAGTGTGGTTCAACATGCATTGTACCGGACAGAACCTCGTAACCGACTCAAGCAGGTGCGCGACAGGAGGGCACAAAACATGGCCAAAAAGTCAGTTGAAGACTACCGAGTATGACCTTTGCCAACAAGTTCAGCGCTAAACCCCCTCCGTCGGATTTCCTGGAAACCCTCTCTCTTTGATCTGATCAATACCCACTTGCCGCTGTTCCCCGCTCACACTGTTCCTGGATCTCTCCCCTGGTGCTCTCGATACATATTTCCCGGCTAAGTTGCAGGCGGAAGGGCAAGAAAAAAAGCCAAAACCGAAACAGGATGGAGGAACCAATCCGCGATCTTCATACTGCCTGTCTATTGCTGATCGTGGCTGGCTGGCTGGA